ATTGCCTGCCACCATTAAGCAATTGGTAATTAAATATAATAAAAAATTTCCTTAAAAAGTGTAAAGTTATGGAAATAATTTTTCACGAAAATAAATTGTCACGCACAACGAGTCTGTGTGCAAAATGTCAGCTCGATTGGATCACGGGAAGTGGGTTAAAAAACGACCGAAAGATTTGCACGGTCGTAAGCGCGCAAGCAAGCAAGCAAGTGAACTTAATATAAAGGATTTTAAAAATCCACGCCATCACGTGGATCGAGACATGCAACCTCCCAAAACTGCAGTGGACTGTCGATTATCTGCGGTAATGACGGGGAGGACTGCAGTCAATTATTTGAAAAATATCTTATTTGAAATGAAGCACAACTGAAGATTTCGATTGTTACTCTTTGGATTTAGAACGATTGCTCACAATCGACCGATCAATGCGCGTGCCAAGTAGTAACACTTTCCTGCTCACGCGCAGAAGACTCGGCCCGCTATAGTGGACAGAAGAGCCACACTCATCAAAATCAATCAAACTCCGCCCCACTGTTTTAAAGATATGCAATTACTGTGTTATACTGTAGAGGCAATAACATGTTTGTTCGGTTTCAGCACGTCACTTGCAATAAACATTTCCAAGATTCACAATGTACAACAGTTTGTTTTTATATTATTACATTGGGCTTAAGGAAAAACAATCCACGAGTTATTAACGTGTGTCAAAATCTCAGGCGCGTGCTTAATCCACAAATTGGATAAAAACCGCACACGGAAAACACTGGTCAACAAAAAAACTTGTTTTTCTGGTCTGGACTTTTGCAGCTGTTCTAGACTAATTTCAGGGTGCCGATTCCAAATCTGATCTCAGATTTGCTCCATCACATCTCATTTTATAAATCCTTTATATTAAGTTCACTTGCTTGCTTGCTTAGGACCGTGCAAATCTTTCGGTCGTTTTTTAACCCACTTCCCGTGATCCAATCGAGCTGACATTTTGCACACAGACTCGTTGTGCGTGACAATTAATGTTCGTGAAAAATTTTTCCCCCAAAATTTTCAACATTTTAGGAAATAAAAAATATTTAATTACCAATTGCTTAATGGTGGCAGGCAATCATCTGACCCATAGGTGGCAGCCATCTCAAGCCAGAGGACGAGAGGACTCTAGCCGCCCGTTTCAAAGACCAATGTGGGCTGGCACGCATATAAAGGATTTATAGTGAAAAACTTTGTTTTTATGGGTAAATTTTTTATGCTATCGGCATACCCCATTTTCATTGATTTTACCCGAAATTAACTCTGTCACTTATGATTGCAAGTTGTTGCGAGTCAGTGACTGCTTTAGTGTTAAAATATGGTGCTGTGTTTTTAGGGTAGTGTGTTTATAATATCATTTTATGTAGATATCCACATTTATAAAAAAAAAATATTTAGCAGTTTTTATTGAAAATGCAATATTTGATATCTGAAAACCTGATGTGATAGACAAAAACTGATGCCAGATATGGAAACAGCACCCCAAAATTACCTTAAAACCGTTGGAATACCTTATGCCAGAAAAAGTGTGCTAACCAGTGTTATCGAGTCTACTGTATACAGGCGTCAGGGTTTCAGGATCGAACCCAGCAACCTCCTGCATTATAACCCCTTTGTGAGGCAGGCGGCCCATCTGGGGTGAGCAATAAGCTACATTGTGGCAAAATACCAGTGCCTTGAGTGGCCCCATGAACACGCGGCGTGACGCAAGTGCGAGACCCCTGCCTCCGATCTCGTTGGGCCTCAAACTCCTCTCCAACCGCGTCCGTCGAAAAAGAACGTGACGGGAGAGAAGCTTACGCCACATGTTTGGGATGGACACACAAAACCAAGGAAAACATCCCCCCGTGTAGCCTTAACAGGCTGTTGGGGCAAGTGCTGTTAGCGAGCACCTATGAAGGCCGGAACGGCACGCGAGGGGGTAGGTGGCCAGCACCACGCCCGACCGCCTCCGTCTCCCCAGTGGCGATGTTTACACACCGCACCAGGTACTCATTTGAGGCGACCTAGGGGAGGCCCAGGACACGTTCAGATATTCGTCACTGGTGTTGGGCATGAGCGGGAACCGAATTCTGGACGGTGGGTTCGTAGTGCAGTGCGCTAACCACTACACAACTACACACAGACACAGGGAAAAATGTAAACACTCTCTGGGTGTGGCGATGACGAGTCACCACCCCGGGAAACAGAACCGTGTGGTGAGTGGTGTGACGTCAACTTAGAAGGCCCCGATTTCACAAAAGCAAAAGAAGGCATCATCATCATCACAGCAGCGGCGATGATGATGATGATGCACCAGCTCCCCGCTCAACTCCTGATGCAATTCTTCTGGCGCTGAGCGGTTCCTAAAAGGTACGCGGAGAATCGGGGGACAGGCCATGCATCTGGCTTCTCGACCACCCTCAATGTGACATTTACAGCTGCTGCTCCACGTCAACTTGATCAGCCACGTGCCAGTTGAAGTGGCTCGCTGTGAGGGTGACTGGAACCTATAGTTTAACGCGTAGTAGTAGTAGTAGCAGGGCTTTCGTGAACAATATTATCGAGAGGTTTTTTTGGGTTTAATCTCGTGGCCAATTCGTGACCAGTTCAGCACTAACTGCTTGTGTTTAAGACGTAGACTTTCACGATCAATATCATCCATAAGAGGTTATTTGAGTAAGATCGCGTAAATATATAAAAGTGTGGAGAAGTCTGTTTCGTTCCTTATACAGAAGCATACTCTTAGGTTTTTTCGGTAAAGTCACGTAGGTAAAACATTAAAATTAATAAAAATAAAATAAAAATCACGACGTTTCGGAGGCAACACAAGTCTCCGTCATCAGGTGGGACCGTCACAGCCACGATAGCTGTATCAACGTGATAAGCCACGTGCATCAAGTGATGCAGCAAATCTGGCTGTGACGGTCCCACCTGATGACGGAGACTTGTGTTGCCTCCGAAACGTCGTGATTTTTATTTTATTTTACTTTTATTAATTTTTATGTTTAACCTACGTGACTTTACCGAAAACACCTAAGGGTATGAATCCTTGCAGTCACGAAAGCTTCAAAGCTAGAATTATACAGAGGCGTAAATGTGTCTAACACCAGTGACGATTACCTGATGAAGCTGGTTGTAATTACTGGCGAAACGTCGTACTCAGATTGTAAATGTTGTGGCTTGGCTCTCCAACACACCGGTGAGTGCTGCACTAGTGACGAATTGGCACCTTCTGTTTACGTGACAACCCTTACTAGTTGGCTGTGTCGTGTGGTGGCAGGTTTTAACGACACTTTTATATATTAACGCGATCTAACCCAAACAACCGCTATTGTTAACTGGTTGTGTGTTGGAGAGTAAACCCACAGCGTTTGCAATTCGTGTACCGTGATGTCATTACAACCAGCCTCATCAGGCTGACATCACATTTATCCCGCCTCTATTTAAGACCAAACCAGGAGGAGGATTTATCAACAATTCTGGCCGTCACCTGATCAGGTCAGTTGTAATTACCAGCAAAATGTCTCGTTAACTCGAATTGTAAATCTTCTTGGTTCTTTCGGTAAAGTGACGTAGAAGGGAAGTAATAAAATAATAATAAGTATAACCCGTAAAAACAAAGTTTTTCACTATAAATCCTTTATATGCGTGGCGGTTAGAGTCCTCTCGTCCTCTGGCTTGAGATGGCTGCCACCTATGGGTCAGATGATTGTCTGCAGTATTAAGCAATTGGTAATTAAATATTTAATTTGTTTTTCCTAAACAGTGTAACATTTTGGAAAAAATTTTCACGAACATTAATTGTCTCGCACAACGAGTCTGTGTGCAAAATGTCCGCTCGATTGGATCACGGGAAGTGGGTTAAAAAACGACTGAAAGATTTGCACGGTCGTAAGCAAGCAAGCAAGCACGCAAGCAAGCGAACTTAATATAAAGGATTTAAAAATAAAACATAATAAAATAAAAATATTTTATAATAAAAATAAAACATAATAAAATAAAAATATTTTATTATGTTTTATTTTTATATTTTTATTTTATTATGTTTATTTTTATTATTTTATTACTTCCCTTCTACGTGACTTTACCGAAATAACCAAGAAGATGAATCCCTGCAGTCACGAAAGCTTTAAATCGAAATCGAATTGTAAATGTTGCAGTGGGTTTACTCTCCAACACACACAAACTGGTTAGTTTTCGATTTAAAGCTTTCGTGACTGCAGGGATTAATCTTCTTGGTTCTTTCGGTAAAGTCACGTAGGTATAAAATAAAATAAATTGCGTTGTGGCCGAAACGTCGTGAGAATTATTTTATTATGTTTTATTTGTATTATTTTATTATTTCCATTCTACGTGACTTTACCGAAAGAACCAAGAAGATGAAACTGGTTAGTGCTGAACTAAGTAAATAATTGGCACTTTGTGTTTACGTGACAAACTGATCGGGCTGTGGTATCGGGGTGGTGGTGGCGGTGGGTTTAACGACACATTTATATTTATGCGACTGAACCAGCAAAACAAAATCTCGGTTGCGGGCACCTACAATGGTAGCGGCTGCTGCTATTACCTGTGCGGTGCAAAGAGGCTCCAATGTAACAACGCACACAAACCCCCCTCTCCCCAATGTCACTCCACCGCTGGATGAGGGCCCACACCCACCCCAACAACACAATTTGGACTGTGGTGGTGGTGGTGAAAGGGGGGTGTTATCGGACCATACGTCACCGTGCCGGTCGGCACAGCTTGGTGAAGGCGGCGAATGCCGGTTTGGTGAAAGCTTGAGGGAGGAAGGCGAGGGGAGGTGAGCACGGTCCTGGAAGGTTGCGTCCAGAGACGGGGTCTACAGGAGACTCGTGGTGCCACGGGGAACACATCGTCCACCCGGGGTCCACGGTGGGTCTCGGGGTTCACAGGGGGAACTTGTGGTTCAAGGAGGAACTTGTGGTCCACTCGGGGTCCACGGTGGGTCTCGGGGTCCACGGGATGTGGGTGCCACCGTTAGAGTCTGTGTCTCTGTTGATATTTCTGTCTGGGGCTCAGGCCCCCCGCCCCCCCCGCCCCGCTAGGGCGCGATGGCGAACGGCTGCGGCGGGGCCAGGGACCCGCGCCGGAGGCTTTCGAGCAGCCAGCGCGGGCGGACAAACAGCACCGCGGGGCTCCACACCAGCACCTGGGGGGCGGGCAGGGGACACCGCCTTGTCACGCTCTTCACCACCACTCACCACCACGTAACACCGCTCACCACCACCTCGTCACACCGCTCACCACCACCTCGTCACACCGCTCACCACCACCACCACGTCACACCGCTCACCACCATCACCACGTCACACCGCTCACCACCACCACCACGTCACACCGCTCACCACCACCACCTCGTCACACCGCTCACCACCACCACCTCGTCACACCGCTCACCACCACCACCTCGTCACACCGCTCACCACCACCACCTCGTCACACCGCTCACCACCACCCTCGTCACACCGCTCACCACCACCACCTCGTCACACCCGCTCACCACCACCACCTCGTCACACACACCGCTCACCACCACCACCTCGTCACACCGCTCACCACCACCACCTCGTCACACCGCTCACCACCACCACCTCGTCACACCGCTCACCACCACCACCTCGTCACACCGCTCACCACCACCTCGTCACACCGCTCACCACCACCACCTCGTCACACCGCTCACCACCACCACCTCGTCACACACGCTCACCACCACCACCTCGTCACACCGCTCACCACCACCACCTCGTCACACCGCTCACCACCACCTCGTCACACCGCTCACCACCACCACCTCGTCACACCGCTCACCACCACCACCTCGTCACACCGCTCACCACCACCCCTCGTCACACGCTCACCACACCACCTCGTCACACCGCTCACCACCACCACCTCGTCACACCCTCTCACCACCCCCACCTCGTCACACCACTCACCACCACCTCGTCACACCGCTCACCACCACCACCTCGTCACACCGCTCACCACCACCACCTCGGTCACACCGCTCACCACCACCACCTCGTCACACCGCTCACCACCCCCACCTCGTCACACCGCTCACCACCACCACCTCGTCACACCGCTCACCACCACCACCTCGTCACACCGCTCACCACCACCACCTCGTCACACCGCTCACCACCACCAACCTCGTCACACCGCTCACCACCACCACCTCGTCACACCGCTCACCACACACCTCGTCACACCACTCACCACCAACCTCGTCACACCGCTCACCACCACCTCGTCACACCGCTCACCACCACCTCGTCACACCGCTCACCACCACCTCGTCACACCACTCACCCACACCACGTCACACCACTCACCACCACCACGTCACACCGCTCACCATCACCTCGTCACACCGCCTCACCACCACCTCGTCACCACCGCTCACCACCACCACCACCACGTCACACCGCTCACCACCACGTCACACCACTCACCACCACCACGTCACACCGCTCACCACCACGTCACACCACTCACCACCACCTCGTCACACCACTCACCACCACCACGTCACACCACTCGCCACCACCTCGTCACACCGCTCGCCACCACCTCGTCACACCGCTCACCACCACCACGTCACACCGCTCACCACCACGTCACACCGCTCACCACCACGTCACACCACTCACCACCACCTCGTCACACCACTCACCACCACCTCGTCACACCGCTCACCACCACCACCTCGTCACACCGCTCACAACCACCACCTCGTCACCACCGCTCACCACCACCACCACGTCACACCACTCACCACCACCTCGTCACACCGCTCACCACCACCTCGTCACACCACTCACCACCACCTCGTCACACCACTCACCACCACCTCGTCACACCGCTCACCACCACCTCGTCACACCACTCACCACCACCTCGTCACACCATCACCACCACCACGTCACACCACTCACCACCACCTCGTCACACCACTCACCACCACCTCGTCACACCCACTCACCACCACCACGTCACCACCGCCTCACCACCACGTCACACCACTCACCACCACCTCGTCACACCACTCACCCACCCCCACGTCACACCACTCACCACCCACCTCGTCACCACCGCTCACCAACCACCACGTCACACCACTCACCACCACCTCGTCACACCACTCACCACCACCTCGTCACACCACTCACCACCACCACCTCGTCACACCACTCACCACCACCACCTCGTCACATCACTCACAACCACCACCTCGTCACACCACTCACAACCACCACCTCGTCACACCGCTCACCACCACCTCGTCACACCACTCACCACCACCACCACGTCACACCGCTCACCACCACCTCGTCACACCGCTCACCACCACCTCGTCACACCACTCACCACACCTCGTCAACCACTCACCACCACCTCGTCACACGCTCACCACCACCTCGTCACACCCGCTCACCACCACCTCGTCACACCGCTCACCACCACCTCGTCACACCGCTCACCACCACCTTGTCACACCGCTCACCACCACCACCTTGTCACACGCTCACCACCACCACCTCGTCACACCGCTCACCACCACCCGTCACAACCGCTCACCACCACCACCTCGTCACACCGCTCACCACCACCTCGTCACACCGCTCACCACCACCACGTCACACCACTCACCACCACCACCTCGTCACACCGCTCACCACCACCTCGTCACACCGCTCACCACCACCTTGTCACACACCACCACCACCTCGTCACACACCGCTCACCACCACCTCGTCACACCACTCACCACCACCACCTCTTCACACCGCTCACCACCACCACCTCGTCACACCGCTCACCACCACCACGTCACACCGCTCACCACCACCACCTCGTCACACCGCTCACCACCACCACGTCACACCGCTCACCACCACCTCGTCACACCGCTCACCACCCCACGTCACACGCTCACCACCACCACCTCGTCACACGCTCACCACCACCACCACGTCACACCGCCTCACCACCACCACCTCGTCACACCACTCACCACCACCACGTCACACCGCTCACCACCACCTCGTCACACCACTCCCCCACCACCACCTCGTCACACCGCTCACCACCACCTCGTCACACCGCTCACCACACCACCTCGTCACACCGCTCACCACCACCACCTCGTCACACCGCTCACCACCACCACCTCGTCACACCACTCACCACCACCACCTCGTCACACCACTCACCACCACCACGTCACACCGCTCACCACCACCTCGTCACACCGCTCACCACCACCTCGTCACACCACTCACCACCACCACCTCGTCACACCGCTCACCACACCCACCTCGTCACACCACTCACCACACCTCGTCACACCCACTCACCACCACCACTACGTCACACCAATTACACCACCTCGTAACACTCACCACTCACATCACACTCACCTCACACTCACTAATCACCACCCACAGCTCACATCACACTCACATCACACTCACATCACACTCACATCACACTCACATCACACTCACATCACACTCACATCACACTCACATCACACTCACATCACACTCACATCACCACTCACATCACCACTCACATCACCACTCACATCACCACTCACATCACCACTCACATCACCACTCACATCACCACTCACATCACCACTCACATCACCACTCACATCACCACTCACATCACCACTCACATCACCACTCACATCACCACTCACATCACCACTCACATCACCACTCACATCACCACTCACATCACCACTCACATTCACCTCACACCAACACTCACCTCACACTCACATCACACTCACATCACCACTCACATCACCACTCACATGACACTCACATCACACTCACATCACACCACACTCACCTCACACTCACATCACACTCACCACTCGTGTTAAACTCACCACATACTTAACACCCTCACCCTGTCACACCTTCACCCCTTACACTCTCACCCTCTCACACCCTCACCCCGTCACGTCACACCCTCACCTCGTCACACCCTTTCACACCCTCACCCCGTCACACCCTTTCACACCCTCACCCCGTCACACCCTTTCACACCCTCACCCCGTCACACCCTCACCCTCTCACACCCTCACCCTCTCACACCCTCACCCCGTCACACCCTTTCACACCCTCACCTCGTCACACCCTTTCACACCCTCACCCCGTCACACCCTTTCACACCCTCACCCCGTCACACCCTCACCCTCTCACACCCTCACCCCGTCACACCCTTTCACACCCTCACCCCGTCACACCCTTTCACACCCTCACCCCGTCACACCCTCACCCTCTCACACCCTCACCTCGTCACACCCTTTCACACCCTCACCCCGTCACACCCTCACCCTCTCACACCCTCACCCCGTCACACCCTTTCACACCCTCACCTCGTCACACCCTTTCACACACTCACCTCGTCGAAGCTCTCATCCCAGCCGTGATTGGCGATGACGAAGTCGACTTCTTCACTTGCACCGTCAGCAACGACGCTCCTGACACACGGCGCACACAGCAGCCCGTCACATCCCATTACGTCACCCATTCTTTTCACGCGTCACCCCCTCCGCGTCACCCCCTCCGCGTCACCCCCTCCGCGTCACCCCCTCCGCGTCACCCCCTCCGCGTCACCCCCTCCGCGTCACCCCCTCCGCGTCACCCCCTCCGCGTCACCCCCTCCGCGTCACCCCCTCCGCGTCACCCCCCTCCGCGTCACCCCCTCCGCGTCACCCCCCTCCGCGCACCCCCTCCGCGTCACCCCCTCCGCGTCACCCCCAGCTCCGCGTCACCCCCTCCGCGTCACCCCCTCCGCGTCACCCCCTCCGCGTCACCCCCTCCGCGTCACCCCCCTCCTCGTCACCCCCTCCGCGTCACCCCCCCTCCGCGTCACCCCCTCCGCGTCACCCCCTCCGCGTCACCCCCTCCGCGTCACCCCCTCTCCGCGTCACCCCCTCCGCGTCACCCCCTCCGCGTCACCCCCTCCGCGTCACCCCCTCCGCGTCACCCCCTCCGCGTCACCCCCTCCGCGTCACCCCCTCCGCGTCACCCCCTCCGCGTCACCCCCTCCGCGTCACCCCCTCCGCGTCACCCCCTCCGCGTCCCCCCTCCGCGTCCCCCCCTCCGTGGCCCCCCTCCGTGTCACCCCCTCCGCGTCACCCCCTCCGCGTCACCCCCCCGCGTCACCCCCTCCGCGTCACCCCCTCCGCGTCACCCCCTCCGCGTCACCCCCTCCGCGTCACCCCCTCCGCGTCACCCCCTCCGCGTCACCCCCCCGCGTCACCCCCTCCGCGTCACCCCTCCGCGTCACCCCCTCCGCGTCACCCCCTCCGCGTCACCCCCTCCGCGTCACCCCCACCGCGTCACCCCACCGCGTCACCCCATCGCGTCACCCCCATCGCGTCACCCCATCGCGTCACCCCCTTCACGTCACCCCCTTCACGTCACCCCTCCACGTCACCCCCCCACGTCACCCCCCCACGTCACCCCCCCACGTCACCCCCTCGCGTCACCCCGTGACCCCCGGTACCCGTTCCAGGCCACGGTGAGTCGCTGCAGGGAGCGGCGCTCTTGAGCGGAGAGCGACGCGTGCAGAAGAATCCTCTTCCCCGACAGCAGATCTAGAGCAACGGTGAATATGATGAGCGAGTGATCGCGGTGTGTGTGTGATGACTGTGTCTGTGTAGGTGAGTGATCGCTGTTGTGCTTGAGTGAGTGATCGCGGTGTGCGAGTGATGACCGAGTCTGTGTAGGTGAGTGATCGCTGTTGTGCTTGAGTGAGTGATCGCTGTTGTGCTTGAGTGAGTGATCGCGGTGTGTGAGTGATGACTGTGTCTGTGTAGGCGAGTGATCGCTGTTGTGCTTGAGTGAGTGATCGCAGTGTGTCTGTGCGAGTGAGTGGTCAGTGTCAGTAAGTGAGCGAGTGGCTTGTGTGAGTGAGTGTTTGAGTGGTCAGTGTGATTGAGTGATCCGTGTCAGTGTTCGTGAGTGGTCAGTGTGACCGAGCAGTCAGTGTGAGTAGTGGTCTGTGAACGCTTGGTCAACGAGTGTGAATGAGTAGTCAGTGTGAGAGTGTTTGTGAGTTGTCAGTGTGAGTGAGTTGTCAGTGTGTGGTCAGTGTGTGGTCAGTGTGTGGTCAGTGTGTGGTCAGTGTGAGTGGTCGTGTGGGTCAGTGGTCAGTGTGAGTGGTCTGTGTGAGTGAGTTGTAAGTGTGTGGTCAGTGAGTGGTCAGTGTGTGGTCAGTGAGTGGTCTGTGTGAGTAAGTGGTCAGTGAGTGGTCTGTGTGAGTGAGTTGTCAGTGTGAGTGGTCAGTGAGTGGTCTGTGTGAGTGAGTTGTAAGTGTGTGGTCAGTGAGTGGTCTGTGTGAGTAAGTGGTCAGTGAGTGGTCTGTGTGAGTGAGTTGTCAGTGTGAGTGGTCAGTGAGTGGTCTGTGTGAGTGAGTTGTCAGTGTGTGGTCAGTGAGTGGTCAGTGTGTGGTCAGTGAGTGGTCTGTGTAAGTGGTCAGTGAGTGGTCTGTGTGAGTGAGTTGTCAGTGTGAGTGGTCAGTGAGTGGTCAGTGTGTGGTCAGTGAGTGGTCAGTGTGGGTTAGTGAGTGGTCAGTGTGTGGTCAGTGAGTGGTCTGTGTGAGTAAGTGGTCAGTGAGTGGTCTGTGTGAGTGAGTTGTCAGTGTGAGTGGTCCGTGTGTGGTCAGTGTGGGTCAGTGAGTGGTCAGTGTGTGGTCAGTGTGTGGTCAGTGTGTGTGGTCAGTGAGTGGTCTGTGTGAGTGAGTGAGTTGTCAGTGTGAGTTGTCAGTGTGAGTGGTCAGTGTGAGTGGTCAGTGTGAGTGGTCAGTGTGAGTGGTCAGTGTGAGTGGTCAGTGTGAGTGGTCAGTGTGTGTGTTCAGTGTGTGGTCAGTGTGTGTGGTCAGTGAGTGGTCTGTGTGAGTGAGTGAGTTGTCAGTGTGAGTGGTCAGTGTGAGTGGTCAGTGTGTGTGGTCAGTGCTGACACTCACCGGGCAGCTCAGGGGGGCCAGGGGCTGCCTCCTCCTCCTTCCCCCCTCCTCCTGCCCTGCCCCCCACCTGCGTTTCCTCCACTGCCTCCTCTTCCTCTGTGGTCCCATCGTAGGGGTCTCCTAATGCACCAGGCGGGCTGGGCGCGCTGCAGTAACAGGCACAGTGGTAGGGGTAGTGGTATGGGTAGTGGAAGTGGTAGTGTTAGGGGAGGTGGTAATGATGGTGATAGGGCTAGAGGTATGGGTAGTGTTGGGGGAGGTGGTAATGATAGTGATAGTGGTATGGCTAGAGGTATGGGTAGTGTTCAGAGTACTGGCAGTGTAAGCCTAGTGGTAGGGGTTAGTGGCCAGAGGAGTTAAGTAGCGTTAGTCAGGGGTAGTGGTAAGGGCAGTGTTAGGGGTTTAGTTGGCGGTAAGGATAGCGTTAGTGGTAATGACTTTAAACCCCTCGCCAAACCTCCTACGCATTTCACAAATAGTACTAATCGCATATCTGCATTTCACATAAATATGCAAAATTCCTCTTGATATGCAAATTATTTTGTCAAGGCGCTCTCCCCCCCTCCATCCCAGCTTAAAAAAATTAACCCGTAAAAACAAAGTTTTTCACTATAAATCCTTTATATGCGTGGCGGCTAGAGTCCTCTCGTCCTCTGGCTTGAGATGGCTGCCACCTATGGGTCAGATGATTGTCTGCCAGTATTAAGCAATTGGTAATTAAATATTTCATTTGTTTTCCCTAAACAGTGTAAAATTTTGGAGAAAAAAATTTCACAAACATTAATTGTCTCGCACAACGAGTCTGTGTGCAAAATGTCAGCTCGATTGGATCACGGGAAGTGGGTTAAAAAACTACCGAAAGATTTGCACGGTCCTAAGCAAGCAAGCAAGCGAACTTAATATAAAGGATTTAAAAAGACGCTCCAAGCCTGGGGTTGTCATTCAGACTCTGTCTTCTTGACAGACCTGTTCTCCACCTGAGGACGGCTGCTTGCGTTGTGGCCGAAGCGTCGTGAGAATTATTTAATGTTTTATTTTATTTTTTATTATTATTTCCATTCTACGTGACTTTACCGAAAGAACCAAGAAAATGGTAGGGGTAATGTTAGTAGTACTGGCAGCTGTAGTGGTAGTGTTATGGCTAGTCGAAGAGGAAATGGTCGGAGTAGTGAATGGTGTTAAGTCAGGGGTAGTGGTAAGGGCAGTGTTAGGGGTCGTGGAGGTTTGGTGCTAAGATTCTCACCACTCAGAGTCGCGATCCCCGATGCTCATTTCCTCCTCTTCCATCTCCTCCTCCGTTACCTCCTCCTCCGTTACCTCCTCTACCTCCTCCTTCACTTTCTCCTTCACCTCCTCCTTCACCTCCTCCTCCACCTCATTCACTGAACAAAGAGGATGAAACTGCACTCGCAATGCTACAGTCCAGTCCTCCCGATAAGACTCCACTGAAACCAGCAGCATCAATGCCATCACCATCATCATCATCACACGCAAGAAGAAATCCACATAGGGCCCTGTTCATCCATAAAACCCTTGTTGGCAAACCTGCACTATACTTAACCACATTTGACATTTGATTATCCGGTTTACAAAATTATCCGGCGGTCCCGGGCCGATCCGTCTAAACCAGCAAAACCGCTCCAAAGGCTCGGACCAGTCCGGCGATCGGCATCGTGTATGTGACAAAATAAAAGTATTTACACTACGAGACCTCCTTTACCAGTGGCGAAATATAGTAATAGGTTTTAACCCTTTCAACTGGTACACCTTTATACAAGGCATCATGCAAACATGATGCCTTGTATAAAGGTGTCAGTTTTTGTACCAGTTGAAAGGGTAAAAACCTATTACTAAAATAAAAGTAGCTATGCTTGAATCTCGATTTAAAGTTTTCGTGACTGCAGGGACCCATACTCTTTGGTTCTTTCGGTAAAGTCACGTGGGTAGAAAATAAATTAAATCACGACGTTTCGATTGCAACACAAGCAATCATCATCAGGTGGGAAAACCACAGCAAGAAAATGTTTGATGGATACAAATTGAGCGATCATTTGAAGGATGTTATTAACCAGGTAAAACCCTAACCTCTTACCATGGCAACTCTGTGTCCCACTAAAGCAAAACATTTTCTTGCTGTGGTTTTCCCACCTGATGATGATTGCTTGTGTTGCAATCGAAACGTCGTGATTTAATTTATTTTATTTTATACCTACGTGACTTTACCGAAAGAAACAAAGAGTATAGCTATGCTTGATTTCGGTTTAACACGTAGAGGCTTTCACGACCAATATTATTCATAATAAAGGTTTTTGGGTCAGATGGCGTTATTTATAAATGTGTCGTAACCCTCCACCACCCGACACGGCCAATCAGCAAAAAATGTGTCACGTTTTTCAAAGAACAAAATAATTCGCTTCTTTAATGAATAACAATTGAATGATTACAAATATATATAATTACAATACCACCCCCCTCTGCCTCGAATCACTGTACCAGATTTAATTAGATGATGACGTCACCCTGATGCTGCTCTATTTTAATGTAGTGTAGTAGTGTATAGTGTAGTGTAGTAGTGTATAGTGTAGTGTAGTAGTGTATAGTGTAGTGTAGTAGTGTATAGTGTAGTGTATAGTGTATAGTGTAGTGTAGAGTGTATAGTGTAGTGTAGTAGTGTATAGTGTAGTGTAGTAGTGTATAGTGTAGTGTAGTAGTGTATAGTGTAGTGTAGTAGTGTATAGTGTAGTGTAGTAGTGTATAGTGTAGTGTAGTAGTGTATAGTGTAGTGTAGTAGTGTATAGTGTAGTGTAGTAGTGTATAGTGTAGTGTATAGTGTATAGTGTAGTGTGTAGTGTATAGTGTATAGTGTAGTGTGTAGTGTATAGTGTAGTGTAGTAGTGTATAGTGTAGTGTAGTAGTGTATAGTGTAGTGTATAGTGTAGTGTAGTAGTGTATAGTGTAGTAAATGAAGACGTCACCCTGATGCTGCTCTATTTAAGACCGGGAGCAACAGGAGGGCTTCACCATTCTTGCCCGATGAAGATGATTGTAATAATCAGCGAAACGTCGTACTCAAATTTTTAAACGCTGTTGATTTCGATGTTAAATATTATATAGAGTACATTATACACTACATTCAACAACTTAAACAATGAAAATACTGCACTTATACACATTTTTCAGGACGAATAACTATGGTCATGAAAACAGAAACAATACACAGTTGCGATCAGGCGAAAAGTGATTGTGTAATTTGGCATTTGCCGGATCACCGGGTCTAAAGGCTGCATCAGTCCGGCAATCGTCCAACACCATGTGAGACTAGGCTCTAAGGAAAGCTGTCTCGGGTGTGGACCAATCAACTTCAAGGACCATGTGAGACTAGGCTCTAAGGAAAGCTGTCTCGGGTGTGGACCAATCAACTTCAAGGACCATGTGAGACTAGGCTCTAAGGAAAGCTGTCTCGGGTGTGGACCAATCAACTTCAAGGACCATGTGAGACTAGGCTCTAAGGAAAGCTGTCTCGGGTGTGGACCAATCAACTTCAAGGACCATGTGAGACTAGGCTCTAAGGAAAGCTGTCTCGGGTGTGGACCAATCAACTTCAAGGACCATGTGAGACTAGGCTCTAAGGAAAGCTGTCTCGGGTGTGGACCAATCAACTTCAAGGACCATGTGAGACTAGGCTCTAAGGAAAGCTGTCTCGGGTGTGGACCAATCAACTTCAAGGACCATGTGAGACTAGGCTCTAAGGAAAGCTGTCTCGGGTGTGGACCAATCAACTTCAAGGACCATGTGAGACTAGGCTCTAAGGAAAGCTGTCTCGGGTGTGGACCAATCAACTTCAAGGACCATGTGAGACTAGGCTCTAAGGAAAGCTGTCTCGGGTGTGGACCAATCAACTTCATGGACAGTGCATACATTATCAGAGTTGTGTTTTTTGTTTGCATTCCGACTGCAGGTATTGTGGTCAATGCAAACATGACTCCTTGTAAAAAAAGGTGTCAGTTTTGTTGCCAGATAAAAGGGTAAAAAAACAATTATCATATTTTGCTACTGGCAAATGAGGTTCCAATGGTGTAAATGCTTACCCCGAGCTCTCATACTCTGATGGTGCATTGTCTATGAGTTGTGCGCCTTTTGGCGTCATCTGGTCCAACACCATGGGAGACTAGGCTCTAAGGAAAGCTGTCTCGGGTGTAGACCAATCAATTTCAAGGACAGTGCATACATTATCAGAGTTGTGTTTTTTGTTTGCATTCCGACTGCAGGTATTGTGGTCAATGCAAACATGACTCCTTGTAAAAAAGGTGTCAGTTTTGTTGGCAGATAAAAGGGTACATTTTTTAAATCATATTTATTTTTGTCTATTTCTATGTTTGTTGGTGACAATTTGAACAAATAAATCATATTTGAAAACACACAAAAACATAGCAACACATCATACAAAAATGTGCAAATAAAAGATGTTTAAATAATGATGATGTAGCGAGTATCCGGCGTTTTTGAAAATCCGGCGTTCCCCCCCCCCCAATCATCTGTAATTCAATATCCTGACCGTCAAACCCGTGAAACCTCAGGCGTTCATCTAATTGCCATTTAAATAATCACCAGAACAAGAATTGGAAGTAGGATGACAAAAGCCTTTGCAGCACCACCCAACGTTTTGGAAACAACCTTTATACACCATAAATCTTCCTTTAAAAAACACGTGTATACAGGTAGTCCCCGAGTTTCGATGGTCCGACTTACGATATTTCAATCTTTCGATAGCGATGCGACAAAATTGCTAAATATTTTAAATGTAGCCGTCAACAACCTAACATCGTTCAAGTATGCAGACGACGGACAGAATCTTGGTGAGTGCAGTACAATGATACGTTACAATACGTTCAATGCATGTATACACTACACTATTACACTACACTATTACATTACACTATACACTACATTATTCCACTACACTATACACTACATTATTCCACTACACTATACACTACATTATTCCACTACACTATATTCCACTACACTATACACTACACTACACTACACACTACACTACACTACACACTACACTATACACTACACTATACTATACACTATACTATACACTATACTATACACTACACTATACAATGCGTAGCTTTAGCGATTTAATTTTAGGGTTACCACGATACGAAACGTTCAATGCATGTTAAAAGTTTTTATAGCAGAGAGGATTGTTTCCTGAAAAAAACTTTCTATCAAATTGTTGGTCCCGGTCCGTAGTAGCAGTTACGTTGTAATTTGTGTAGTTAGACTGGTGGTCACCGCCTTAGGCTGTTATTCTGTTAAGGGGAAGTTACCCCGTGTTGGAACGGAATAAATGTGGTGCCTCCAAGTCTACGTCTGCGACTCTGTGGAACCCACTACAGCAGGCATGTCCAAAGCCCGGCCCGCGGGCAGATTTCATACGGCCTGCAGCTTCGGTCTTATAACGTCTTATTTATGGCTCGCCAGCTCTGTCAGAATAAATACATCATACAACTCATGGAAATGTAAGGTATTCTATACAGTTTGTTCAATGTTATCTGACTGAACGAAAGGCAGAATTGCGTTTTAGAGTTGTTCCCGTCTGCCTGAGTGGCTTATATTTGGTTACATTGTCATTTGAAAAATGAAGGTAATTGTGACGATGAAAATTGTTTAATAACAGCGTGTATTTCCACGTAACTTTTGTGGTTAATACAATGTCAAAGGAATTATTGGCCCCTAGGCATCTTCACTTTATCAAATGTGGCCCTCTTTGCAAAAAGTTTGGACACCCCTGCACTACACAATCATCACCACCATCATCAACAATCGCCCGTTCGCCATTCAGTGACGGTGATGGCGCTTGTGCCAGGCTGGGTGCATTCTGGGGTCACGATTAAAATTGTGGAAAGTTCGCTGCTGGCAGGGGGGTCAGAGGACAGACGGGTACCATGGGTTGACCAACTGAGATGATTGGCAGATGCACCACCTGTGCCTGCTACTGTGCCAACTTGCTGTGTTTTAGCCACCCGGCACTCTGCTCGTTGCTGTGAGCATCGCTCCTCTGCCCTCCGTTGTTGCTGGAGGGCGACTGCCTCCAACTGCCCAGTAGCCTCAATGTACACTTAGCCTGGAACTGCCAATAGCGTCCTTCACGAACCTCCTCCAGAGGACGATCTTGACACTGCTGGTACCGGTCATCGGCAAATCCACTCAGCTCCACATCCTCCTGTACTGCATCACTCCATCCCTTCTCCAGCCCGTACTGTGCCCCCTCTATGCGGCCAAACAGAAGCTGTTTGGGGCATGCGGTGGCTGGGCATGTGGGCTACACGACGCAGCCAACGCAGACTCGCCCTGCCAGAGGAGCCTACTGATGGGAATGTGTCCAGACCTCTGAAGGATCTGAGCTCCTCACACAATCCAGTCTGCAAGATGTGACTTCAACTGGCCACTCCACATGGGGAGGGGTGTGTGTGTGTGATTAACCGCAGCCCCAGGCAGGATCAACCCCCCCCCCCCACCTTGCCCCATGATGTCTTGCGAGAAGAGAGAGGTAAGGGGGGCGGGGGGGAGTGAGTGGACTGGGGTAGAGGAGTGAAAAGAGAGAGTTGATGGGGGGGGGGTGGGGAGTAGTAGTAGTTCTGGAACTGCTGGGTAGTCATCTCTCAGATCCTCGTGAGCGCCATCACACGAGGGCAGCCGTCAAACAAGACCGGACACACTCGGGGCGGGTGTGAGATGCAGCTACCTGCGGTGCGCTGCGGAGATGGAGTTGAGACTCGAGCGGCAGGCAGAGATGTCCTCTGGTGCACAGACACACGAGACAAATCAGACATGGCAGGAGCAGTGACACAACCCCTGCTGCAGACAGACACAGAGACAATTGTAATGTATATGAACACCTTAAACCTCCTCCTCTGGTCCCACACACATATCACTATTCTGTTCTGAAGAGCCACTTTTTTTTGATTGGCAATTTCTTGCCCCGAGTTGAAGATGGTCCATCCCTCATAGTGAACAGAAACCGGTCCAACGGACCCCCCATCCTATAATAATAGGGGTTTTCCCCCTTTTTTTTGGCAACAAAACTGAAACCTTTTTACGAGGAATCATGTGTGCATTAACCACAATACTTGTGGTCAAAATGCAAACAAAAAACACACTCTGATAATGTATTGGCATTGGCCTTGAAACTGATTGGTCCACACCAGAGACGGCTTTCTTTTGAGCCTCGTCTTAATTGGTGCTAGACCAGAGGATGCAAAAAATTAACCCGTAAAAACAAAGTTTTTCACTATAAATCCTTTATATGCGTGGAGGCTAGAGTCCTCTCGTCCTCTGGCTTGAGATGGCTGCCACCTATGGGTCAGATGATTGCCTGCCACCATTAAGCAATTGGTAATTAAATATAATTTATTTTTTCCTAAAAGTGTAAAATTTTGGGAAAAAAAAAATTTCACGAAAATACATTGTCACGCACAACGAGTCTGTGTGCAAAATGTCAGCTCGATTGGATCACGGGAAGTGGGTTAAAACACGCCTGAAAGATTTGCACGGTCGTAAGCGCGCAAGTGAAGTATTGGAATTGACGGCAGGAACTTCTTGACGGGTAACACACTTTTATTAAATCTTTACGTTCACAATACAACGTGTGGTCTCCTTTCTTCCGACTACACACTCCACTAATCTCGTGTAAACTCTATGCCTCTGGCTACACACGCTACACTTGACTCGTGTAGACCCTATGCCTCTGGCTACACACAATACACTCGACTCGTGTAGACCCTATGCCTCTGGCTACACACTACACTCGACTCGTGTAGACCCTACGCCCCTGGCTACACACAATGCATTCGGCTCGTGTAGACCTTATGCCTCTGGCTACACACTACACTCGCCTCTGGGTTACACAGAGTCCCGGTCCCGTTAGGACAGCGGGACTAGGTACCGCAGGGCCCTAGGTCTTCATCCCCGTCTTCATTCTTCGCTGGTTACATACTGCCCTTACGCCTGTGTGCATCCCCTTTTATAGCCCCTGCTCACGAGAGACGGAGCTGATCCGGACGTCGACGTGAGCATCGTTCCCTCGTGGACCAATCACGACGCACTCTCTCTACGATCCGTTTTCCCCAGCGCGTGTTAACACTCCTCTACCAATCACACCGCGCTGCCACCCGATCACTCCCTCTCAGCGCGTCACGGGCCCACAGCCAATCAGTACCCCGTAACCCACGACCCCGCGCTGACCCCTGATCCTCCACCGTCAGCACGCGTCACCACCTACACAGCCAATCATTACGCGCTGGCATACGATCCCTAATCCCAGCGCGTATCACCTCTACACAAGCAAGCAAGCAAGCAAGTGAACTTAATATAAAGGATTTAAAAAGGCGTACAGCTCAAAGACAATGCACTATCAGAGTAATGAGAGCTCGGGGTGAGCATCTACATCATTAGACCTCCTTTGCCTGTACCAACATATAATAATAGGGTTTCTCCCCTTTTTTCTGGCAACAAAACCGAAACCTTTTTACAAGGATTCATGTTACTACATTAACCACAATACTTGCAGTCAAAATGCAAAGAAAGCTGTCTCTTGGTGTAGACCAATCAGTTTCAAGGACAATGCATATATTTCGATTTAAAGCTTTCGTGACTGCAGGGATTCATCTTCTTGGTTCTTTCGGTAAAGTCACATAGAAGGGAAGTAATAAAATAATATAAATAAAACATAATAAAATAATTCTCACGACGTTTCGGCCACAACGCAAGCAGCCGTCCTCAGGTGAAGAATGAGACAATGCCAAGCTAGGAGCCTATATATAAGCTGCGTTGGAGGTGGAAGAGAGAGCGCCTTAACAAAAGAATGTGCATATGAAGAGGAATTTAGCATATACATGGAAAATGCGTAGGAGGTGGGCGGGGGGGTTTCAAAGTCATATTATGCCCATGCATTATGCAGGATCAACAGCACCAAGGGGGGGTGCAGGGATTAGCAGTAACAGAGGAAAGGAATGTTAATGATATGTAGCTGCAGTTACTCAACAACCACGTAGAAAACTAAAGTATAAACTACATAAAAAACTAAAGTATAAATTGCATAGCACCATCAGTATACTTACTATACTCTACACTAAGCTGAGTTACTAACAGCAAGTAATACATTACAATTCTACGTCGTAAAAATTATATAATATGCTTCCATCTAAACTTAAACTTCCACCTCCAACGCAGCTTATATATAAGCTCCTAGCTTGGCATTGTCTCATTCTTCACCTGAGGACGGCTGCTTGCGTTGTGGCCGAAACGTCGTGAGAATTATTTTATTATGTTTTATTTTTATTATTTTATTACTTCCCTTCTACGTGACTTTACCGAAAGAACCAAGAAAATGCATATATTGTAATAGTAATAGGTTTTTACCCTTTCAACTGGTACAAAAACTGACACCTTTATACAAGGCATCATGTTTGCAATAATCACAACACAAGCAGTCAAAATGCAAACAAAAAGAAACAACTCTGATGATGATAAGGATATGCACTATCCTTGAAGTTGATTGGTCCACACCCGAGACAGCTTTTCTTAGAGCCTAGTCTCCATTGGTGTGCATATCATTATCATCATCAGAGTTGTTTATTTTTGTTTGCATTTTGACTGCTTGTGTTGTGATTATTGCAAACATGATGCCTTGTATAAAGGTGTCAATTGTTGTACCAGTTGAAAGGGTAAAAACCTATTACTATATTTTGCCACTGGTAAAGGAGGTCTCATAGTGTAAATGCATATATTATCAGAGTGTGTTTTTTGTTTGCATTTTGACCACAAGTATTGTGGTTAATGCAGTAACATTATTCCTTGTAAAAAGGTTTAAGTTTTGTTGCCAGAAAAAAGGGGAAAAACCCTATGATTATACTTTGGTACTGGCAAAGGAGGTCTAATGATGTGGACCCCATCCTGCATTCCAGAGGTCCAGGGCAGTAACTGTCCAGCTCCTGACAGAGAGAAGTGTCAGCCTCTCCTCCTCTGCAGTGAGCGTTAAAACACTTATAACATGTCCTCCCACAGTAGGTTTTTCTTTAAAGCTTTCGTGACTGCAGGGATTCATCTTCTTGGTTCTTTCGGTAAAGTCACGTAGAAGGGAAGTAATAAAATAATAAAAATAAAACATAATAAAAAAAACAATTCTCACGACGTTTCGGCCACAACGCAAGCAGCCGTCCTCAGGTGAAGACCAGGTCTGTCGAGGCGACAGCGTCTGAATGAAACAGCACACGTGCTTGGAGCATGTATATAAGCTGGGTTGGAAGGGGGGAAAAGAGCGCCTTGACAAAAGAATATGCATATCAAGAGGCATATTCTTTTGTCAAGGCGCTCTTTATTTTTATTATTTTATTACTTCCCTTCTCCGCAACTTTACCGAAAGAACCAAGAAGAGGAGTAGGTTTCTCGTTGTTATTTCAGGAGTGAACAAAAAGGGTTACGGGGTTCAGGTCGCCTGGCTCCTCTAGAATGGGGGTTTGGGTCAAAAGATGCCACAAAGGGCCTGTTCCACCCCCACCCTGGGACCTCCGGCACAATCTTCAATTTAACTTTCTTTAATTTTTTATGGGAATTGAGTTGAAGGCTGAGTAGGGGGCAGTCATCACCAGCTCCCTCGTACCCATCCCAGAGTCCCCTGTGGCTACCATGAAGGGAACAGCCGATTTGCTCAGTCACCACGGCCCATTGCCGGTGGCAACCGCCGAGGATGCGCAGGGGGGTGTTGCGTTCTCCAGCCCAAACAGACGCACGTTCACCCACTCACAATCACACCCAAAGATCCCCCCGTGTTGCCTTAACAGACTGTTGGGGCAAGTGCTGTTAGCGAGCACCTAAGAAGGCTGGAACGGCACACGACGAGGTGGTGGGTGGCCAGCACCACGTCCGACCGCCTTTGTCTCCCCCAGTGGCGATGTTTACTACACAATGCACCACGTACTAATTTGAGGCTGAGTCGACCTAGGGGAGGCCCAGGAACGATTCAGATAATCGTCACTGGTGTTGGCCGTGAGCAGGATGGAACTCAGGTTGCCGGGCTTGTGGCGCGGCGCGCTAAACGCGACACTACCGCTCGTCACACACAGCAAGAGACAAAAATCCACCGTGTAGCCTGAACAGACTGTTGGGGCAAGTGCTGCTAGCGAGCACGTGTAGAGGTATTACGTAACGGGGTGTGGCGAGCTGTTACGTTGGGGGCGTCTACATCAACGTCCGCAAACGGTCACCACCCTGGGGGGCTGTGTGGGAGGCTGTGGCTGGGATCCCGCACAGCCCCACCCCTCGGCAGTGAGAGAGAGAGAGCTGGAGGCAGTCGTCAGAGTCCGAAGAGAATGAAGAGCCAGTGAAGATTGAAGAGCGACTAGCCTAGCCCTGGGACTACCGCCCTGTCTCGCAGTTCTTATAAGAGCCGAGCAGGGCAAGCCAGGGGCGACCTCAGAGCAGCGAGGTCTGGGTCCCTGTGAGGGCCAGACTCGAGTGGCTGAGGGTCGGACCTGAGCCGAAGCTGGGCCAGGTGAGTTAGCCTCCTTTAGGATGGTCTGAGATAGAGGGGAGTAGTAGGAGCTCACGGGGAACGCGAGCCGAGGAACACATCCTCTAGTAGAATCGGGTGAAGGGGCCGTTACCCCTTCGAGTGTGAGGGTTCGCTACGAGCTGCTGTATCGTAGCTCTTGTTAATAAATAAGTGTTGCCTCTATCGACGTCTTCTGCGCTACTTAGGCTCCTGCACACGTATAAAGGCCTGCACGACACGCGAGGGGGTGGGTGGCCAACACCACGCCCGGCCGCCTTTGTTTCCCCAGTGGCGATGTTAACACACCACACCAGGTACTCATTTGAGGCTGAACAGCAGAGATTTCCCTGCGCCATAGACACACAGATATATATAATCACACACACACACAAGGCAGCAGTAGGCGAGGCAGTTGTAATGACACATCACGCTATAACAACACTGCTGGTTTATCCAGGATGTTTTTGTTGCGCGTCGTCGCTTTAAGATGTTCTCTGTTGATATTTTTCGATTTAAAGCTTTCGTGACAGCAGGGATTCATCTTCTTGGTTCTTTCGGTAAAGTCACGTAGAAGGGAAATAATAAAATAATATAAAAAATTCAAATTCTCACGATGTTTCGGCCACAACGCAAGCAGCCGTCCTCAGGTGGAGAACAGGTCTGTCGGGGAGACGGTCTGAATCTGTCTCCTCGACAGACGCTGTTCTCCACCTGAGGACGGCTGCTTGCGTTGTGGCCGAAACGTCGTGAGAATTATTTTATTATGTTTTATTATTATTATTTTATTATTTCCATTCTACGTGACTTTACCGAAAGAACCAAGAAGATGTTCATATTTTGTTTGTTGCGGTTGCACCCGACTCAAGAGCCGCATGGCTCCCAGGGCTATACCCAATAAATGAAACTTGAACACAGTGAAGCCTGAAAACCAGTGACCATCCCTCCCCTGAGCAGTTCGCTTGGGAGCTCACCTCTGCCCGTTGTTCTACCGGGTCTCCGACTCTTTGCACTCGCTCAGCTATCCACCTCACAGGGGGCGCGGGCTACACTACAGCTCCCGCACACAATCACACACCCACACACAGTCACAACAACCGCCACCATTCGCCACTAAGTGGCGGTGACGTCACCACGACACTTGTGCCAGGCCATGTGCACCTTGAGGCTACCACGTGAAGTGTCGAACGCCCGCTGGCAGGAGGTCACGGGGCAGACCCAGCAGGTGCCACGGATCGACTGACTGAGATGACCGAGATGACTGGCTGATGCACCACCTGTGCCCCCTACTGTGCCAACATTCACACACCCACCCACACAACAAAGATCCCCCGTATAGCCTTAACAGAATGTAGGGGCAAGTGCTGTTAGCGAGCACCTATGAAGGCCGGAACGGTACACGAACGAGGAGGTGGGTGGCCAGCACCACGCCCGGCCGCCTTTGGTTCCCCAGTGGCGATGTTTACACACCTCACCAGGTACTCATTTAAGGCTGAGTCGACCTAGGGGAGGCCCAGGACCGGTTCAGATAATCGTCACTGGTGTTAGCCGTGAGCGGGAATCGAACCCGGGTCGCCAGGTTCAGCGGTAGTGTAGCGGTTAGCGCAGCGCGCTAACCGCTACACTACCACTCCCCAACAGTCACACACCCACCCACCCACACACATCCACCCACCCACACACACACCCACACCCACCCCCACACCCACCCACACACACACACACACACACCCACCCACACACACCCACCCACACACACAGCCATACCCCCCGGCACTCACCGTCGACGGCGTTCTGTTTGGGCGGCGTGAGGGACGTGCCTCCTCATCCTCGCTGCTCGATCCATCGCCGTACATCAGGTACCTGACGCATACAAACACAAACATCCCCCCAATTCTGAGAAAACTGTGAGAACAAATGCTCTAACAGTTGATGATGCTGGATGCAATTACCAGCGAAACGTTGTACTCAATTTTTTTTTTAATGTTGTGGTTTCACGCTTCAACACACCGGTGGGCTAAAGCAGTGAACTATTTGTCTTTTGTCAACGTGACACTTTTTTTAAATCCTTTATATTAAGTTCACTTGCGTGCTTGCTTGCGCGCTTACGACCGTGCAAATCTTTCAGTCGTTTTTAAACCCACTTCCCGTGATCCAATCGAGCTGACATTTTGCACACAGACTCGTTGTGCGTGCCAATTAATGTTCGTGAAAAAAAATTCCTAAATTTTCCACTTTTTAGGAAAACATTTTTTTCATATTTTATTTAAAATACCAATGTGATAAAAATGAAACTCTTACTCAAGAAAAACTGAAATGAATAATAAAATAAAACCGATGCCACGCATATAAAGGATTTATAGTGAAAAACTTTGTTTTTACGGGTACATTTTTTACTGATTGGCCGTGTCGGGTGGTGGAGGGTTACGACACATTTATAAATAACGCCATCTAAACCCAAAAACGTTGATTATGAATAAAATTGGTCGCGAAAGCCTACATGTTAAACAGAGCAAATGCTTCTTCTTGGTTCTTTCGGTAAAGTCACGTAGAAGGGAAATAATAAAATAATAAAAATAAAACATTATAAAATATGAATTATTTTAAAATAATTATTTTTAAAAGTCACGTAGAAGGGAAATAATAAAATAATAAAAATAAAACATAATAAAATATAAATTATTTTAAAATAATTATTTTTAAAAGAATTCTTATTTTATGATGTTTTATTTTTATTATTTTATTATTTCCCTTCTACGTGACTTTACCGAAATAACCAAGAAGATGAATCCCTGCAGTCACGAAAGCTTTAAATCGAAATTTAAGGTAATACCCATCGCTTTCACACTCACATCTGCTGCTGTGTCTTCACCGAACTCTAAACAGATTTTATTTAAAGCTAGCCTATCACTAATCTCAGAAAGAATTAGGTTACTCCTTTTTTACACCTGACGGAAGGAAGCTTGTGTTGCCTCCGAAACGTCGTGATTTTATTTAGTTGTTTTCATTTATTTGATTTCTTGTTTCACCTACGTGACTTTACCGAAAAAACCAAAGAGTATGAATCCTTGCAGTCACAAAAGCTTCAAATCTAGAATCTGCTGCTGATTAATTTCTGCGTGGTCCATCTCCGATGGTGTCCTCACTGCCGTGAGCGTTGACACTCCACCATGCCCCGTCCTTGCCTTCATGCATCATCGCTAGCAGCTGGAGGTTGACATCATCACCTCCCCACCATCTTCCAGATGTCTAAACGAAATCTGTGAGGGTTCAAGACTGTGGCTCCATAGGTCTGCCCCGGTGACTTGCCAGTGGCAAGCACCTTCCACACTTTCACACAATAGCCTCAAAGCGCACCTAGCCTGGTACAACCGCTATGGCGAACGCACCGCCATATTATGCTCATGCACATGTGTCTGACCGCCTCTCCATTCGTGCAGGCAAGTCCTCTTATAAGTGGGTAAGGCTCCACTGAGCTGCTGTACACAGCTCTTTTTCAGAAGCGGCCTGGCTGTCAAAAATGATAGCTCAACAAAGTGGGCTTATCACGGCGTGGAAATGTATAGGAGCCAAAAACTCTGAACTCACGTTGATTCTACAAATGTGGAGGAAAAAACCACAAAGATCCAGAAAGAAAAAAAAATCACACGATCAAGGATAGACACCGCAAACTACAAATATGCAGCAGGCGTCAGGGTCGGACGACTTTCTGTGTCTCTACGTGCATCTCCCCGTGTCTCCCCGTGTCTCCCCTTCTCACCCGTGTCTCCCCTTCTCACCCGTGTCTCCCCTTCTCACCCGTGTCTCCCCTTCTCACCCGTGTCTCCCCTTCTCACCCGTGTCTCCCCTTCTCACCCGTGTCTCCCCTTCTCACCCGTGTCTCCCCTTCTCACCCGTGTCTCCCCTTCTCACCCGTGTCTCCCCTTCTCACCCGTGTCTCCCCTTCTCACCCGTGTCTCCCCTTCTCACCCGTGTCTCCCCTTCTCACCCGTGTCTCCCCTTCTCACCCGTGTCTCCCCTTCTCACCCGTGTCTCCCCTTCTCACCCGTGTCTCCCCTTCTCACCCGCTGTCTCCCCTCTCTCACCCCGTGTCTCCCCTCTCACCCGTGTCTCCCTTCTCACCCGTGTCTCCCCTTCTCACCCGTGTCTCCCCTTCTCACCCGTGTCTCCCCTTCTCACCCGTGTCTCCCCTTCTCACCCGTGTCTCCCCTTCTCACCCGTGTCTCCCTTCTCACCCGTGTCTCCCCTTCTCACCCGTGTCTCCCCTTCTCACCCGTGTCTCCCCCCTTCTCACACCGTGCTCCCCTTCTCACCCGTGTCTCCCCTTCTCACCCGTGTCTCCCCCTTCTCACTCCGTGTCTCCCCTTCTCACCCGTGTCTCCCCTTCTCACCCGTGTCTCCCCCTTCTCACCCGTGTCTCCCATTCTCACTCGTGTCTACCCTCCACCGTGTCTCCCCTTCTCACCCGTGTCTTCCCTTGTCACCCGTGTCTCCCCCTTGTCACCCGTGTCTCCCCTTGTCACCCGTGTCTCCCCGTGTCTGCCCGTGTCTGCCCGTGTCTCCCCGTGTCTCCCCTTCTCACCCGTGTCTCCCCTTCTCACCCCGTGTCACCCCGTGTCTCCCCGTGTCTCCCCATGTCTCCCCGTGTCTCCCCGTGTCTCACCGGCGCTCTGCGAGTCTCCGACCCTGGGCGGCGCTGTCCTCCAGCCACTCTCTCCGCACCACGAGAGCCCCGGCAGCCTGCGCCTGACGGCTCTTGGGTGTGCGGGCAAACGCACAGCTGAGACGTGGGGAGACACGGGGAGACACGGGGAGACAAGTTGAGATGCGGGGAAACGCGGGGAGAGACGCGGGGAGAGACGCGGGGAGAGACGCGGGGAGAGACGCGGGGAGAGACGGGGTGACGAGTTGAGACGTGGGAAAACACGGGGTCACATGGAGACACGGGGAGACACGGGGTGACATGGGTAGACAAGTTGAGATGCGGGGAAACGCGGGGAGAGACGCGGGGAGAGACGCGGGGAGAGACGCGGGGAGAGACGCGGTGACGAGTTGAGACGTGGGAAGACACGGGGTCACATGGAGACACGGGAAGAGACACGGGAAGAGACGCGAGGGTGAGACGCGGGGGTGAGACACGCAGAGGGGTGGGACACGGAAACACAGGGGAGACACAGACGTGGAGATGAGGGAAAAACAGATCAAGGGGGAGGAATGTCGGGGGATGAGTGTGGTTCCCCATGACCTCCCCCCTGTGCTACTCTCACCCCCCCAGTGCCCCCCCCGTGCCCCCCCCAGTGCCCCCTTCTCACCCGCCCCGCCCCCCCCCCGGTGCCCCCTTCTCGCCCCCCCCCCTCCCCCCCCGTATCTCACACGAGGTGGGTGCAGCCCGGTCCCCAGTCGGGCCGGTAGCGAGCGCCCAGCCCCAGGGCCAGGTCGCGCAGCGTGGAGCGCAGGGGGTTGGTGAAGCCGCTGAGCGAGACCACCACCCCGCACAGCGCAGGCTGGCCAGGAGACGCGGGGGGGGCAGAAGCTGCCGGGGGAGGGGACCTGACCCCACGAGCGCTGCCTGTTGGGGTGGGGGGCAGATCAGGTGGGGGGGGGTGGGGCGGTTAGCGCAACGGGCAGCCTCGGAGTCACCACCACCATCGTCATTATCATCATCACCGTCGCCACCATCGTCACCACCTCTACCATCATCACCACCACTACCATCATCACCACCGCTACCATCATCACCACCGCTACCATAATCAACACCACTACCATCATCACCACCGCTACCATCATCACCACCGCTACCATCATCACCACCGCTACCATCATCACCACCACTACCATAATCACCACCACTACCATAATCACCACCACTACCATCATCATCAACGCTACCATCATCACCACCACTACCGTCATCACCACCGCTACCATCGTCACCACCACGACCATCCTCACCACCGCTACGATCATCACCACCACTACCATCATCATCACCGCTACCATCATCACCACCGCTACCATCATCATCACCACCACCATCATCATCATCACCACCACCATCATCATCATCACCACCACTACCATCATCACCACCACTACGATAATCACCACCGCTATCATCATCATTATCACCGCCACCGTCACTACCACTACCATCATCACCACCACTACCATCATCACCACCACTACCATCATCACCACCGCTATCATCATCATCACCACCGTCACCACCCTCTTCACCCCACTGTCAGCATCACCATCATCAACATCATCATCATCTCCACCATCGTCGTCACCACTATCGTCACCACCATAACCACAATAATTATCGTCACAACCACAACCATCACCACTGTAACCACCACCATCATTATGATGATCATCATCATCATCACCACCACCACCATTGTCATCATCACGACCACCATCACCATGATCACCACCATTACGACCACCACCATCACAAGCATCGTCAACACCGTCACCACCATCACCACCATCACAACCATCAAAACGCCATAACCACCAACAATAGCCACCGGTCACCACTAAGTGGCGGTGACATCACCACGGCACTTGTGCCAGGCTAGGTGCACCATCAGGCCTCGCTGGTAGGAAGTAACGGGACAGACCCTGGTGCCGTGGGTTGACTTACAGAAATTACTGGCAGATGCACTACCTGTGCCCTTTGCTGTGCCAACTTACTGCGTTCTCATTGCCCCGTGCTCTGCCTATTGTTGTGAGCGTCCCTCCTTTGCCCTCCGCTGTTGCTGCGTCCTTCACGAACCTCCAGCTGTACCGCACCAGTCCATCTCTTCTCGAGCCCATACCGTTGCACGTTTAAACCCCCTCTATCCGGCCAAACAAAAGGTGCTTGGGCATGCGCTGGCTTGGCATGCAGGCTACGTGACCCAGCCAACGCAACCTTGCCTGCCAGAGGAGCTCACTGATGGGAATGTGTCCAGATCTTTCAAGGATTGTGAGCTCCTCACACAATCCAGCCTGGTTAAACGCAGGATAGATCATAGGCAGGCCAGCCTGAATGGCTCTAACTGCCGAAGATGTTCCATTAGAGGGGTCCACGTTTCACAAGCATCGACAAGGGAGGGCCGAGAAGACCTGCAGCTTTGTATGGAGCGACATACCAGGCATCTTCCACACAGCAGCGTTAAACAGAAGATACAAGATAAATGCCACTTGCTTCGAATCTGGCCTGGGTATGTGAAAACATCCACGCTCTCCACATGGGCAGCGGAGGGGATGGAGTGTTTGATGACACAAAATACCCAGGCAGGTGTATGGCTGGATAGTGGGGCATGAGGCTGGGTAGTGGAGTGTGTGGCGGAGTAGTGGAGTGAGTGGCTGGATAGTGGAGTGTGTGGCTGGGTAGTGGAGTGTGTGGGTAGTGGAGTGTGTGGCTGGGTAGTGGAGTGAGTGGCTGGATAGTGGAGTGTGTGGGTAGTGGAGTGTGTGGGTAGTGGAGCGTGTGGCTGGGTAGTGGAGTGTGTGGGTAGTGGAGCGTGTGGCTGGGTAGTGGAGTGTGTGGGTAGTGGAGTGCGTGGTTGGGTAGTGCAGCGTGTGGCTGGGTAGTGGAGCGTGTGGCTGGGTAGTGGAGTGTGTGGGTAGTGGAGTGCGTGGTTGGGTAGTGCAGCGTGTGGCTGGGTAGTGGAGCGAGTGGCTGGGTAGTGGAGTGTGTGGGTAGTGGAGTGTGTGGCTGGGTAGTGGAGTGAGTGGCTGGGTAGTGGAGTGAGTGGCTGGGTAGTGGAGTGAGTGGCTGGGTAGTGGAGTGAGTGGCTGGGTAGTGGAGTGAGTGGCTGGGTAGTGGAGTGAGTGGCTGGGTAGTGGAGTGAGTGGCTGGGTAGTGGAGTGAGTGGCTGGGTAGTGGGAGTGAGTGGCTGGGTAGTGGAGTGTGTGGCTGGGTAGTGGAGTGAGTGGCTGGGTAGTGGAGTGAGTGGCTGGGTAGTGGAGTGTGTGGCTGGGTAGTGGAGTGAGTGGCTGGGTAGTGGAGTGAGTGGCTGGGTAGTGGAGTGAGTGGCTGGGTAGTGGAGTGAGTGGCTGGGTAGTGGAGTGTGTGGCTGGGTAGTGGAGTGAGTGGCTGGGTAGTGGAGTGAGTGGCTGGGTAGTGGAGTGTGTGGCTGGGTAGTGGAGTGTGTGGCTGGGTAGTGGAGTGTGTGGGTAGTGGAGTGTGTGGCTGGGTAGTGGAGTGTGTGGCTGGGTAGTGGAGTGAGTGGCTGGGTAGTGGAGTGAGTGGCTGGATAGTGGAGCGTGTGGCTGGATAGAGGTTTGCGGAGCCCCAATGTGGTTTGAGTCCTACAAGGATGCCATATTCTCTGTCCATCTGCTATAGCAACAGAGGTGTAGGGATTTTAAAGCGGACCTACATAGCTACTATATTAACCTGGTAAGGCCTATGATAAAATCAATAGGCCAGGTATTTGTTTTATTCTGTGCGTTTGGGGTTCCACTGTTCACAATCATTAAAGACCTTCATGATGGTGGGCAGGCACACACACACTCACTCACCCCGCACTCTTTCACATTCACCATCTCTCAAGCTCACTCATTCACGCTCACTCTCTCACTGCTCCCAACCACCCACCGGCTTTGCTCGCCCCGTGGTTGTTGTTGTTGTGGTTGTTGTTGTTGTTGTTGCTGCTGCTGCTGCTCCGCGCGAACGAGCTCTGTGCAGGTGATGCAGCTGCTCCTTCTCTCCGGCCTCCACCACCTCCGAGAAGGAGAGAGAGAGAGCTCCATCCCTCACTCCACCACACACACGCTCACCACACACACCACACACTCTCACACTTACAATTATCACACAACTCTGATAATGATATGCACTGTCCTTGAAGTTGATTGGTCCACACCCAAGACAGCTTTTCTTAGAGCCTAGTCTCCATTGGTGTTGGACCAGATGACGCCAAAAGGCGTACAACTCAAAGACAGCGCACTATCAGAGTATTGAGAGCTCGGGGTAAGCATTTACACTACGAGACCTCCTTTACCAGTGGCAAAATATAGTGGTAGGTTTTTACCCTTTCAACTGGTACAAAAAAGCTGTCTCAGGTGTGGACCAATCAACTTCAAGGACAGTGCATATCATTATCATCATCAGAGTTGTTTCTTTTTGTTTGCAATTTGACTGCTTGTGTTGTGGTTATTGCAAACATGATGCCTTGTAAACAGGTGTCAGTTTTTGTACCAGTTGAAAGGTCAAAAACCTATCACTTCATTAATTCTTGTTAAAAACCGCATGCGGATAATTGAGAGTATTTATCTGGCAACAAAACTGACACCTTTTTACAAGGAGTCATGTTTGCTTAGACCGCAATACCTGCAGTCATAATACAAACAAAAAACATAACTCTGATAATGTGCACTGTCCTTGAAGTTGATTGGTCTATGCAAACATGACTCCTTGTAAAAAGGTGTCAGTTTTGTTGCCAGATAGAAGGGTAAAAAAACAATTATCATATTTTTACTGGCAAATGAGGTTCCCATAGTGTAGATGCTTGCCCCGAGCTCTCATACTCTGATGGTGCATTGTCTTTGAGTTGTGCGCCTTTTGGCGTCATCTGGTCCAACCCATGTGAGACTAGGCTCTAAGGAAAGCTGTCTCGGGTGTGGACCAATCAACTTCAAGGACAGTGCATACATTATCAGAGTTATGTCTTTTGTTTGCATTATGACCGCAGGTATTGTGGTCTATGCAAACATGACTCCTTGTAAAAAGGTGTCAGTTTTGTTGCCAGATAGAAGGGTAAAAAACCAATTATCATATTTTTACTGGAAAATGAGGTTCCCATAGAGTCTACTATTTGTTTTATTCTAGAAGTGGGTAAGGCCCCACTGAGTAGCTATTTTTTCAGAAGCAGCGACCTGGTTATCAGCAATGGTAGCCCAACAAAGTAGTGGCTCATCACCATCGCGATCAAATTCATAGCAGGAGCCAAATCACTCAAAAATGCACGGTAACATTGATTGTAAATGTGGAGGGGATAAAAAATTAACCCGTAAAAACAAAGTTTTTCACTATAAATCCTTTATATGCGTGGCGTCGGTTTTATTTTATTATTCATTTCTGTTTTTCTTGAGTAAGAGTTCCATTTTTATCACATTGGTATTTTAAATTAAATATGAACATTTTTTTCCTAAACAGTGTAAAATTTTGGAATTTTTTTTCACGAAAATGCATTGTCACGCACAACGAGTCTGTGTGCAAAATGTCAGCTCGATTGGATCACGGGAAGTGGGTTAAAAAACGACCGAAAGATTTGCACGGTCGTAAGCACGCAAGCAAGCAAGTAAGTGAACTTAATATAAAGGATTTAAATAAAAAACGACCGAAAGATTTGCACGGTCGTAAGCGCGCAAGCAAGCAAGTAAGTGAACTTAATATAAAGGATTTAAATAAAAAACGACCGAAAGATTTGCACGGTCGTAAGCGCGCAAGCAAGCAAGTAAGTGAACTTAATATAAAGGATTTAAATAAAAAACGACCGAAAGATTTGCACGGTCGTAAGCGCGCAAGCAAGCAAGCAAGTGAACTTAATATAAAGGATTTAAAAAGTGGAAGACCTGGAGAAAAATCCACGCGACCACCAAGGGAGAGCGAGAAAGACTGCTCACTCCGAAGATACAGCAGCAGGCAGTCTCAGGATCCGGAGTCGAACCCACGACCTTCTGTATACCAAATTTCGATTCAAAGCTTTCGTGACTGCAGGGATTCATCTTCTTGGTTCTTTCAGTAAAGTCACGTAGAAGGGAAATAATAAAATAATACAAATAAAACATCATAAAATACAATTCTCACGACGTTTCAGCCACAACGCAAGCAGCCGTCCCTCAGGTGAAGAACAGGTCTGTCGGAAAGACAGCGTCTGTATACCAGTCGAGGTAGTTAACATCTCCTCGCCACCGGGTAGTCAGGGTCGTGATCGAACCCACAATTCTGTATACCAGGCGAGGTAGTTAACATCCCCATCTGAGCAGCGCAACCCGGAGACACAAACCTCGTGAAGGGTCCATCAGGAGGCCCTCTCCTCCTCCACCTTGTCCACCTTGTCCACCTTGTCCCCCTCCTCCTCCCCCTCCTCCACCTCCGCCCCACTCGCCCTGCGGCCGCCTCTTCCGTGGTTGGGAGGTCACGGGCAAGTCAAACTTCCTCTTGAGGCACGCGGCCTGAGAGCAGAGAGGCACAGGACAGAGACACGGCACACTGAGACAGAGAAACACGGAGACAAACACAGGACACTGAGACAGAGAGACACAGGACAGAGACACGGCACACTGAGACAGAGAGACACTGAGACACAGAGACACGGGACAGAGACACGGGGCACACTGAGACAGAGAGATACAGGACACTGAGACACAGGACACTGAGACACAGAGACAGTGAGGTAGAGACACGGCACACTGAGACAGAGAGACACTGAGGTAGAGACACTGAGACAGAGAGACATGGCACACTGAGAATGAGAGACACTGAAACAATGGACGCTAAGACACTGAGACAGAGACACTTAGACACAGACACTTAGACACAGAGACACTGAGACACAGGACACTGAGACAAAGAGAGTCTGAGACAGAGACACAGGACAGAGACACGGCACACTGAGACAGAGAGACACGGCACACTGAGACAGAGACACTGAGACAGAGACAGTCTGAGACAGAGAGACACAGGACAGAGACACGGCACACTGAGACAGAGAGACACGGCACACTGAGACACTTAGACACAGAGACACAGAGACACTGAGACAGAGAGACACAGGACAGAGACACGGCACACTGAGACAGAGAGACACTGAGACAATGGACGCTAAGACACAGAGACACTGAGGCAGAGACACGGGACACTGAGACAAAGAGAGTCCGAGACAGAGAGACATGGGACACTGAGAAAGAGAGATACGGGAAGTGAGGAGACCTGGGGCTTGATGGTGGAGCTGGGTGAGGAGGGAGACCCAGGTAGATCGCCCAGTGCAGCCCTGGCATAGCTCAGAGCTATGAACACAGAAACAGTCAACAATCAATACCAAATTTTCGATTTAAAGCTTTCGTGACTGCAGGGATTCATCTTCTTGGTTCTTTCGGTAAAGTCGTCACGTAGAAGGGAAGTAATAAAATAATAAAAATAAAACAATAAAATACAATTCTCACGACGTTTCGGCCACAACGCAAGCAGCCGTCCTCAGGTGAAGAACAGGTCTGTCGGAAAGACAGCGTCTGAATGAACGCTGTCTTTCCGACAGACGCGTCTTTCCGACAGACCTGTTCTTCACCTGAGGACGGCTGCTTGCGTTGTGGCCGAAACGTCGTGAGAATTATTTTATTATGTTTAATTTTTATTATTTTATTATTTCCCTTCTACGTGACTTTACCGAAAGAACCAAGAAGATGAATCAATACCAATACCCGCCATTCGCCAATAAGTAACGGTGACGTCACCACAACGCCTGTGCCAGGCCAGGTGCACGTGAAGTGTCGACGGCTCGCTAACAGGAGGTCTCTGGACAGACCCAGGTGCCATGGGCTGGCTGACCGAGATGACTGGTAGATGTACCAGCAGTACCCCCTACTGTGCCAACTTGCAGCATTTTAGCCGCCCGGCGCTCCGCTCGTTGTTGTGAGCGTCGCTCCTCTGCCCGCAGTTGTTGTTTATGGACAACTGCCTCCAACTGCGCAGTAGCGTCCTTCACGAGCATAGAGGCTGATCATACCGCTGGTACCAGTGTTCGGCAAGTCCACTCGGCTCCACATCCATCAGTCCATCTCTTCTCCAGCCAATGTCGTGCCCGTTTAGCCCCCTCTATGCGGCCTAACAAAAGCTGTTTAGGCATTCGGTGGCTGGGCATGCGGGCTACATGACCCAGCCAATGCAGCCTTGCCTGCCGGAGAAGCTCACCGATGGGACTTTGCCCAGATCTTTCAAGGATTTGTGAGCTCCTCACACAATCAAGCCTGGTTAAATCCAGGATAGATCGTAGGGCAGGCCAGTCTGAATGTTTCTAACCGGCGCAGACGTTCCATTAGAGGCTGTGTCGACCTAGGGGAGGCCCATGACAGGTTCAGCTAATCGTCACTGGTGTTGGCCGCGAGTGCGAATCAAAACTTGGGTCGCCGGGTTCGTAGCGCGGCACGCTAACCGCTACACTACCGCTCCCCACACACCAATACTCGCCATTCGTCACCAAGTGACGTCACCACGGCGCCTGTGCCAGGCTCGGTGAACTTTGAGGCCATGTAAAGCGTGGAATGGTCGCCTGCTAAAAAGCAGGTCATGGGCCAGACCCAGGCGGTATTTCGTTGACAGACCGAGATGGCTGACCGATGCACCTCCGACCTCCATTGTTGCTGTTAGGGCAACTACCTCCAACTGACCATTATTAGCCTCAAGGTGCACCTAGGCTGGCACTGCCAAACAGCATCCTCAACACGCCTTCAGCACAGAGGCCGGTCATCGGCAAGACCAATCAGCTCGACATCCTCCTGTGCCGCACATCTGTCAATCTCTTGTCTAGCTCGTGCCGCGCCCGTTTAGCCTCCTCTGTTCTTTGGTTCTTTCGGTAAAGTGACGTCTAAAGATAAAATAATAAATTAAATAATGGCATATTACGACGTTTCGATTGCAACACAAGCAATCATCATCAGGCATAAAAGAAATAGCAACAAAAATCTAACTAGAAAACTATAGACAGACATACAAGCAGACAGACATCACAAGGACACACGGAGAAAGAACACATATCGGCACAAAGAGAGGGGGTCGTTTCTGTGACGGGGCCTTAAAAACTAAGTTTTTCACTAGAAATCCTTTATATGCGTGGCGGCTAGAGTCCTCTCGTCCTCTGGCTTTAGATGGCTGCCACCTATGGGTCAGATGATTGCCTGCCACCATTAAGCAATTGGTAATTAAATATAAAAATAAATTCCTAAAAAGTGTAAAATTTTGGAAAAAATTTTTCACGAAAATAAATTGTCACGCACAACGAGTCTGTGTGCAAAATGTCAGCTCGATTGGATCACGGGAAGTGGGTTAAAAAACGACCGAAAGATTTGCACGGTCGTAAGCAAGCAAGCAAGTGAACTTAATATAAAAGATTTAAAAACAGTTTCTTCCCATCCGCTGTTGGCCTCTTCAGCAAGGCCAAGGGCTTAAAATGACTTTTATACTTTAACATTTTATCTACAAAATTGCACCTTGTCATATTTACAACATGTTACCCAGTCATAATGCAAACAAAAAACACAACTCTGATAATGTATGCACTGTCCTTGAAGTTGATTGGTCCACACCCGAGACAGCTGATGCCAGATTTGGAATCAGCACACACCACAAAATTACCTTAAAACCATTGGAATACCTTATGCCAGGCAAAGTGTGTTGACCAGTGTAATAGACTATATACCGTATGCATACGCCACAGCGAAAGTTTCGGGGTGTTTCCACGTAACAGACATTGGGGGATGTCGGGATCGAAACGACGACTCTCCCTGCCTACCAGGCGAGGGAGTTAACATCTCGACAGCACGAGCCCGACTCGGCCATTGTACGCCCGGTGGTGTGGCGGGTGAAGAAGGGGGGGGGGGGGGGGTGACTCTGACTGTGAGGGGCGGGGGGTGTGGGGGGGGTGAGCAGGAGGGGGTGACGCTGGCGGGAAGAGAAGAGTCCACCCGGGGCGAGGCAGCCGCCGCCGCTGCTGCTGCTCGGGACGTCGTCACGAAGACGGAACCCGCCCAGTCGCTGCTCCTGCTACTGCCCAGACCCAGGTGGGGGGGGGGGGCAGGGACACAGACGCACGGAGGAGGAGGAGGCGGGGGGGGGGGTGAGCAATCCGTGAGGGGAAATTTTTCCCGCCAAGTGCATCGAGCACGAGCTGACGGTGGCCATCCTGGGAGGTTATTGCCGTCTTTGTCGTCAAGACCGTGCGATGTGCGAGAAGCAGCATCATAACATTTATATATATACTGCTGGAGGAATCCGATAAGCTATGAAGCTCTTTTTTTACGGATGGTCCAATACAATACGCACAAACACGGCAAGAGTGCAAAGATTCATCTTCTTGGTTCTTTCGGTAAAGTCACGTAGAATGGAAATAATAAAATAGCAAAAAATAAAAACGTAATAAAATAATTCTCACGACGTTTCGGCCACAACGCAAGCAGCCGTCCTCAGGTGAGGAACGTCAACTTATTTTTTATTATTTCCATTCTACGTGATGACTTTACCGAAAGAACCAAGAAGATGAATCCCTGCAGTCACAAAAGCTTTAAATCGAAAGTGCAAAGTATAATAAGAGGGTTTTTCCCATTTTCTCTGGCAACAAAACTGCAACCTTTTTACAAGGAATCATGTTACTGCATTAACCACAATACTTGTGGTCAAAATGCAAACAAAAAACACACTGATAATATATGCATTTACACTATGAGACCTCCTTTACCAGTGGCAAATATAGTAGTAGGTTTTTACCCTTTCAACTGGTACAAAAACTGACACCTTTATACAAGGCATCATGTTTGCAATAACCACAACACAAGCAGTCAAAATGCAAACAAAAAGAAACAACTCTGATGATGATAATGATATGCACTGTCCTTGAAGTTGATTGGTCCACACCCGAGACAGCTTTCCTTAGAGCCGAGTCTCCATTGGTGTGTATATCATTATTATCATCAGAGTTGTTTCTTTTTGTTTGCATTTTGACTGCTTGTGTTGCGGTTATTGCAAACATGATGCCTTGTATAAAGGTGTCAGTTTTTGTACCAGTTGAAAGGGTAAAAACCTATTACTATTACAATATATGCATTGTCCTCGAAACTGATTGGTCCACATCAAGAGACAGCTTTCTTTGCATTTTGACTGCAAGTATTGTGGTTAATGTAGTAACATGAATCCTTGTAAAAAGGTTTCAGTTTTGTTGCCAGAAAAAAGGGGAAAAACCCTATTATTATATTTTGGTACTGGCAATGGAGGTCTAATGATGTAGATCAGGGGTCGGCAACCTACGGCTCCGGAGCCGCATGCGGCTCTTTACGGGCTGCTTCTTGACGATGAGTACGTATGTACTCAGATGCATTGCGGCTCTTGAAATACTGAATTTTGTACCGAATTGGAAAGAAATGGCTCTTCTTGTTATTTTGGTTGCCGACCCCTGATGTAGATGCTCACCCCGAGCCCTCGTTACTCTGATAGTGCATTGTCTTTGAGCTGTGCGCCTTTTGGCGTCATCTGGTGCAGCACCAATTGAGACGAGGCTCAAAAGAAAGCTGTCTCTGGTGTGGACCAATCAGCTTCAAGGACAATGCCAATATATTAGAGTGTTTTTTGTTTGCATTGTGACCGCAAGTATTGTGGTTAATGCAGTAACATGATTCCTCGCAAAAAGGTTTCAGTTTTGTTGCCAGAAAAAAGGAGAAAACCCCTAGATTTGAAGCTTTCGTGACTGCAAGGATTCACACTCCGGTAAAGTCACGTAGGTACAAGTAAACCCGTAAAAACAAAGTTTTTCAACAAATTCTTTATATGCGTGGCATCGAGTCTGTGTGCAAAATGTCAGCTCGATTGGATCACGGGAAGTGGGTTAAAAAACGACCGAAAGATTTGCACGGTCCTAAGCAAGCAAGCGAACTTAATATAAAGGATTTAAAAAAAAAAATACATGAAAATAACTAAATTAAATTTCGACGTTTCGGAGGCAACACAAGTCTCCGTCTTCAGGTGGGACCGTCAAAGCTAAACTTAGTGTACCACTTGATACAGCACCACGCTCAACATCGGGTCTCTGGTGGCGCAGTCATCGATCGAGGGTCGAATTCGAACCGTGTGTGATCGGCATCGCGCTCGCTGAAAGTATGATGCCTTCAGGGCGGTCGTGTACTCTATACGCAACTGCGCACAATTCTGTGAGTCACTTATAACCGCTTTGTCGTTACTTATTGACAATCGTGGACTCAAACTATTGTCCTATCATCTCGTAGAGTCCCTGGCACGTAAAAATATGCTACACAGTGGCAGTGAGGGTCGCAAAATGCCGATTTATTACTAATAAACCCCAACGATCCGATCGAAATGAGGGATTTAGATCGGATCATTGGGGGGGCACGTGCCACCCCACCCCACCCCCCACTTGACACAGTAAATTTGTCTGTGACGGTCCCACCTGAAGACGGAGACTTGTGTTGCCTCCGAAACGTCGTGATTTTATTTAGTTATTTTCATTCATTATTATTGTATTTTATTATTATTATTTTACCTACGTGACTTTACCGGAAAACAAGTATAACCCGTAAAAACAAAGTTTTTCACTATAAATCCTTTATATGCGTGGCGGCTAGAGTCCTCTCGTCCTCTGGCTTGAGATGGCTGCCACCTATGGGTCAGATGATTGCATGGCAGCATTAAGCAATTGGTAATTAAATATAATTTTTAGTCCTAAAGTGTAAAATTTTGCTAAAAAATTTTCACGAACATTAATTGTCACGCACAACAAGTCTGTGTGGAAAATATCAGCTCGATTGGATCACGGGAAGTGGGTTAAAAAACGACCGAAAGATTTGCACGGTCCTAAGCAAGCAAGCAAGTGAACTTAATATAAAGGATTTAAAAACCTAAGAGTATGAGTGGGAAAAACCCTATTATTATATGTTGGTACTGGCAAAGGAGGTGTAATGAAATAGTGCAAAGTACAAAAAAGGTCTTAAAAATCACCCAACGCACGTACAAATACCAACGAAACCATCCACCATCCTAGCAGGCAAAGGCCACTGGAGCCATTCACTTATTTTTCAGATGCGACCTGGCTACCACAAATGATAGTAGGTCAACCGAAGTGGGCCCAATCATTTGGAAAACTTACGGCAGCAAAAATAATCTTTAAAAATTTCAATGCACGTTGATTCTAAATGTGGAGGGGATAACAAGTATAACCCGTAAAAACAAAGTTGTTCACTCTAAATCCTTTATATGCGTGGCGGCTAGAGTCCTCTCGTCCTCTGGCTTGAGATGGCTGCCACCTATGGGTCAGATGATTGTCTGCCAGTATTAAACAATTGGTAATTAAATATTTAATTTGTTTTCCCTAAACAGTGTAACATTTTGGAATTTTTTTTTCACGAACATTAATTGTCTCGCACAACGAGTCTGTGTGCAAAATGTCAGCTCGATTGGATCACGGGAAGTGGGTTAAAAAACGACCGAATGGTTTGCACGGTCGTAAGCAAGCAAGCAAGCACGCAAGCGAACTTAATATAAAGGATTTAAAAAAGCGGAGGACACGGAGAAAGAAAAAAAAAGCACCCGGCCACCACGGGGCAAGAGAGAGAGCAAGCAAGATGCAAACTATATACAGCAGCAGGTGTCAGCGTCTGGGATCGAACCCACGCACTCCTGTAAACCAAGCAAGGTAGTTAACATCTCCTAGCCACCGGGTAGTCAGGGTCGGGGTCAAACCCACGACCTCCTGTGTACCAGGTGAGGTAGTTAACATCTCCTAGTCACCGGGTAGTCAGGGTCGGGGTCAAACCCACAACCTCCTGTGTACCAGGTGAGGTAGTTAACATCTCCTAGTCACCGGGTAGTCAGGGTCGGGGTCAAACCCACAACCTCCTGTGTACCAGGTGAGGTAGTTAACATCTCCTAGTCACCGGGTAGTCAGGGTCGGGGTCGAACCCACGACCTCCTGTGTACCAGGTGAGGTAGTTAACATCTCGTAGCCACCGTGGAATCAGGTTCGGAATCAAACCCACGACCTCCTGTGTACCAGGTGAGGTAGTTAACATCTCATAGCCACCGTGGCATCAGGTTCGGAATCAAACCCACGACCTCCTGTGTACCAGGTGAGGTAGTTAACATCTCATAGCCACCGTGGCATCAGGTTCGGAATCAAACCCACGACCTCCTGTGTACCAGGTGAGGTAGTTAACATCTCATAGCCACCGTGGCATCAGGTTCGGAATCAAACCCACGACCTCCTGTGTACCAGGTGAGGTAGTTAACATCTCCTAGTCACCGGGTAGTCAGGGTCGGGGTCAAACCCACGACCTCCTGTATACCAGGTGAGGGGATGGGTGTCACCGAAGGGATGGGTGTCACCGAAGGGATGGGGGTCACCGAAGGGAGATGGGGGTTCACGGGAGAGGCGCCGGGCTGCACCTGCTTGGCTTGCGGAGCGTCGTCTGTGGAGGAATCCTCAGGGACCGAGTTGAAGCGGATGAACGCGAGGCCATACGCCAGGGACTGGCGTGGAGATGGGGGCGGGGGGGACACGGAGACACAGACACGGGGACACGGAGACACGGAGACATAGACACGGGGACACGGAGACACAGACACGGGGACACAGACATGCAGATATTCAGACACGGACATGGGGACACGGAGACACAGACACGGAGACACAGACACAGGGACACGGAGACACAGACATGCAGACATTCAGACACAAGGACATGGAGACACAGACACGCAGATATTCAAACACACGGACACGGAGACACAGACACGGGGACACAGACACGGACACGGAGACACAGACACAGGGACACAGACACGGAGACACAGACACGGAGACACAGACACGGGGACACAGACACGGGGACACGGGGACACGGAGACACAGACACGGGGACACGGAGACACAGACACGGGGACACAGACATGCAGATATTCAGACACGGACATGGGGACACGGAGACACAGACACGGAGACACAGACACAGGGACACGGAGACACAGACATGCAGACATTCAGACACAAGGACATGGAGACACAGACACGCAGATATTCAAACACACGGACACGGGGACACGGGGACACAGACACGGAGACACAGACACGGGGATACGGAGACACGGAGACACAGACACGGGGACACAGACATGCAGATATTCAGACACGGACATGGGGACACGGAGACACAGACACGGAGACACAGACACAGGGACACGGAGACACAGACATGCAGACATTCAGACACAAGGACATGGAGACACAGACACGCAGATATTCAAACACACGGACACGGAGACACAGACACGGAGACACAGACACGGGACACAGACACGGAGACACAGACACGGGGACACAGACACGGAGACACAGACACGGGGACACAGACACGGAGACACAGACACGGGGACACAGACACGGAGACACAGACACGGGACACAGACACGGAGACACAGACACGGAGACACAGACACGGGGACACGGAGACACAGACACGGGGACACGGAGACACAGACATGCAGACATTCAGACACAAGGACATGGAGACACAGACACGCAGATATTCAAACACACGGACACGGGGACACGGAGACACAGACACAGGGACACGGAGACACAGACATGCAGACATTCAGACACAAGGACATGGAGACACAGACACGCAGATATTCAAACACACGGACACGGGGACACGGAGACACAGACACGGGGACACAGACACGGAGACACAGACACGGAGACACAGACACGGGGATACGGAGACACGGAGACAGACACGGGGACACAGACATGCAGATATTCAGACACGGACATGGGGACATGGAGACACAAACACAGGGACACGGAGACACAGACATGCAGACATTCAGACACAAGGACATGGAGACACAGACACGCAGATATTCAAACACACGGACACGGGGACACGGAGACACAGACACAGGGACACGGAGACACAGACATGCAGACATTCAGACACAAGGACATGGAGACACAGACACGGAGACACGGGGACACGGAGACACGGGGACACGGAGACACAGACATGCAGATATTCAGACACAAGGACACAGGGACATGGAGACACAGACATGCAGATATTCAGACAAGGACACGGGGACACGGAGACACAGACACGCAGATATTCAGACACAAGAACACGGGGACATGAAGACACAGACACGGGGACACGGAGACACAGACACGGGGACACGGAGACACAGACACGGGGTTATTCACCAGTAGTGTAACTGCGCACAGCCAGGTTGGGAGCAGACATCTCCCTCGCCAAGGGCAGAACACAATTTTCGCAGCTAGGTGGTGGTTCTAGATTTGAAGCTTTCGTGACTGCAAATGATTCATACTATTAGGTTTTTCGGTAAAGTCACGTAGGTAAAAAATAAAATAAAAATAACAAAAGTAACAGAAATAAAATAATTAAACTTAAATAAAATTATTTTATTTCTATTATTACTTGTATTAATTTAAATATAAATTTTAATTTAAAAGTAATAATAGTCCTTATAAAAAAGGTGTCAGTTTTGTTGCCAGATAGAAGGGTAAAAAAACAATTATCATATTTTTTACTGGCAAATGAGGTTCCAATGGTGTAAATGCTTACCCCGAGCTCTCATACTCTGATGGTGCATTGTCTTTGAGTTGTGCGCCTTTTGGAGTCATCTGGTCCAACACAATGTGAGACTAGGCTCTAAGGAAAGCTGTCTCGGGTGTGGACCAATCAACCTCAAGGACAGTGCATACATTATCAGAGTTGTGTTTTTTGTTTGCATTATGGCTGCAGGTATTGTGGTCTATGCAAACATGACTCCTTGTAAAAGAAAAGGTGTCAGTTTTGTTGCCAGATAGAAGGGTAAAAAAACAATTATCATATTTTTTACTGGCAAATGAGGTTCCAATGGTGTAAATGCTTACCCCGAGCTCTCATACTCTGATGGTGCATTGTCTTTGAGTTGTGCGCCTTTTGGAGTCATCTGGTCCAACACAATGTGAGACTAGGCTCTAAGGAAAGCTGTCTCGGGTGTGGACCAATCAACCTCAAGGACAGTGCATACATTATCAGAGTTGTGTTTTTTGTTTGCATTATGGCTGCAGGTATTGTGGTCTATGCAAACAGGACTCCTTGTAAAAGAAAAGGTGTCAGTTTTGTTGCCAGATAGAAGGGTAAAAAAACAATTATCATATTTTTTACTGGCAAATGAGGTTCCAATGGTGTAAATGCTTACCCCGAGCTCTCATACTCTGATGGTGCATTGTCTTTGAGTTGTGCGCCTTTTGGAGTCATCTGGTCCAACACAATGTGAGACTAGGCTCTAAGGAAAGCTGTCTCGGGTGTGGACCAATCAACCTCAAGGACAGTGCATACATTATCAGAGTTGTGTTTTTTGTTTGCATTATGGCTGCAGGTATTGTGGTCTATGCAAACATGACTCCTTGTAAAAGAAAAGGTGTCAGTTTTGTTGCCAGATAGAAGGGTAAAAAAACAATTATCATATTTTTTACTGGCAAATGAGGTTCCAATGGTGTAAATGCTTACCCCGAGCTCTCATACTCTGATGGTGCATTGTCTTTGAGTTGTGCGCCTTTTGGAGTCATCTGGTCCAACACAATGTGAGACTAGGCTCTAAGGAAAGCTGTCTCGGGTGTGGACCAATCAACCTCAAGGACAGTGCATACATTATCAGAGTTGTGTTTTTTGTTTGCATTATGGCTGCAGGTATTGTGGTCTATGCAAACATGACTCCTTGTAAAAGAAAAGGTGTCAGTTTTGTTGCCAGATAGAAGGGTAAAAAAACAATTATCATATTTTTTACTGGCAAATGAGGTTCCAATGGTGTAAATGCTTACCCCGAGCTCTCATACTCTGATGGTGCATTGTCTTTGAGTTGTGCGCCTTTTGGAGTCATCTGGTCCAACACAATGTGAGACTAGGCTCTAAGGAAAGCTGTCTCGGGTGTGGACCAATCAACCTCAAGGACAGTGCATACATTATCAGAGTTGTGTTTTTTGTTTGCATTATGGCTGCAGGTATTGTGGTCTATGCAAACATGACTCCTTGTAAAAGAAAAGGTGTCAGTTTTGTTGCCAGATAGAAGGGTAAAAAACCAATTATCAGAAATAAAATAATAAAAATGAAATAAAATTATTTCATTTCTATTATTACTTTTATTAATTTTAATTGTATTTCTTACCCACGTGACTTTACCAAAAAACCTAAGAGTATAGGTGGTGTTTCGATTTAAAGCTTTCGTGACTGCAAGGATTCATCTTCTTGGTTCTTTCGGTAAAGTCACGTAGAAGGGAAGTAATAAAGTAATAAAAATAAAACATAAGAAAATAATTCTCACGACGTTTCGGCTACAACACAAGCAGCCGTCCTCAGGTGGAGAACAGGTCTGTCGAGTAGACAGATTCTGAATGACACACAATTGCACACACAACTGTCTTCTCGACAGACCTGTTCTCCACCTGAGGACGGCTGCTTGCGTTGTGGCCGAAACGTCGTGAGAATTGTATTTTATTATGTTTTATTTAAATTATTTTATTATTTCCCTTCTACGTGACTTTACCGAAAGAACCAAGAAGATGAATCCCTGCAGTCACGAAAGCTTTAAATCGAAAAAAAAAAGATGATGATGTAGATGATGATGATGTTAATGATGATGTTAATGATGATGATGTTTATGATGATGTGAAAGACGCTGTCTTTCCGACAGACCTGTTCTCCACCTGAGGACGGCTGCTTGCGTTGTGGCCGAAACGTCGTGAGAATTATTTAATGTTTTATTTTTATTATTTTATTATTTCCCTTCTACGTGACTTTACCGAAAGAACCAAGAAAATGAGTATAGGTGGTGGTTCTCATGGGCAGCTGCGGCAGCAGAAGTCATACTTGGCCTGTCGCACTACCCTCCACTCCAGCTCTTCAATGACACCACATTAAAACTCCGGGTCTTCGACGCGTGTGCGGCGATGGCGCAGACATCGATCGAGGGTCGAATTCGAACCGTGTGCGATCGGCATCGCGCTCGCTGAAGGTGAATGCCTTCAGGGCGGTCGTGTACTCTATACGCAACTGCGCACAATTCTGTGAGTCACTTATAACCGCTTTGTCGTTACTTATTGACAATCGTGGACTCAAACTATTGTCCTATCATCTCGTAGAGTCCCTGGCACGTAATAATATGCTGCACAGTGGCGGTGAGGGTCGCAAAATGCCGATTTATTACTAATAAACCCCAATGATCCGATCGAAATGAGGGATTTAGATCGGATCATTGGGGAGGCACGTGACACCCCAACCCCCCCCCCCCACTGGCTCCACCAGTGGCCCGATTGGACCTGAAAACTCAATTTCCCTGTACAAAAATACGGGTAAATCGTATGGGTTGACAGGCATATCATCTTATTCTTAGGTTGTTTTCCGGTAAAGTCACGTAGGTAAAAACTTTAAATTAATAAAAGTAAAATAAAAATCACGACGTTTCGGAGGCAACACAAGCCTCCGTCTTCAGGTGGAACCATCACAGCACGATAGCTGTATCAAGTGAATTTTTCTCACTTGATACAGCTATAGGCCGTGTACCTAGGCCGTGTCGCTAGGCCGTGTCGCTAGGCCGTGTCGCTAGGCCGTGTACCTAGGCCGTGTACCTAGGCCGTGTACCTAGGCCGTGTACCTAGGCTGTAACAGAGTACCAGGACTGTTGGAGTGCTGTTGGAGTGTAATAAAGAAGTTACCTCTACAAGTGTCTCCGGAACCCATTACACATGCAAGCGAGCGAGCGTGTGAGCATACGTGCGTGCATGCGTGTACATGTCCGTCCGTCCCCCCAGGGCTCACCGAGTTGTAGGGCTGCCGGCAGACGACGCGCGCCCGGTCCCAGCGCTGCTCGCGAACCGAGCGGCACAGCAACTCGGGGCCGAACATTCGGACGCGGCTCCTCTGCTGCGAAGAGCGGCTCTCAGCGGGAGACATGAAGCACGAGGCGGACAGCAGCGCCTATGCAGCGGAGATGACGCACACACACACAGTCAGTCAGAGACACACACACACACAGTCAGTCAGAGACACACACACACACACAGTCAGAGACGCACACACACACACAGTCAGAGACACACACACACAGTCAGTCAGAGACGAGACACACACACACAGAGACACACACACACACAGTCAGAGACGCACACACACAGTCAGAGACACACGGGGGGGGTTGTAGACACAGGGCTAGGCACACAGAGAGATAGACGCAGAGACAGAGATAGACACGGACACAGAGAGACACACGGAGAGACACAGAGATTGAGACACACACACAGTCAGAGACGAGACACACGGGGGAAGGGGGGGGGTTGTAGACACAGGGCTAGGCACACAGAGACACAGAGATAGACACACAGAAAGATAGACGCAGAGACACAGATAGACACACGGAGACAGAGATAGTCAAGGACAGACACAGATACACAGAGATATACAGGCAGAGAGATAGACACACACAGATACACACACAGAGACACACACAGAGACATTAGACACAGACAGAGTGACCCACAAATAGACACAGAGATGACGCACACACACAGTCAGAAACGAGACACAGGGCTAGACACACAGAGAGATAGACAGAGACACAGATAGACACGGACACAGAGATAGACACAGAGATAAAGACACACAGAGACAGAGATAGTCAAGGACAGACAGATACACAGAGATATACAGGCAGAGAGATAGACACACACAGAGACATTAGACACAGACAGAGTGACACACAAATAGATAGACACACAGAGCCAACAAAAACAGCTGCCTTTCGCCACTAAATGGCGGTGACGTCACCATGACGCTCGTGCCAGGCTAGGTGCACTTTGAGACCATGTCGAAACCTCTCTGCTGACAGAAGGTCACGTGACAGACCCAGCAGGTGCCGTAGGTTGAATGACTAAAATAAATGCCAAATGTACCAACTGTGCCCCCTACTGTGCCAACTTGCTGCATTTTAGCCACCAGGCACTTTGCTCGTTGTTGTGAGCGTCGCTCCTCTGCCCTCCGTTGTTGTTGGACGGCGACTGCCTCCAACTGCCCAGTAGCGTCCTTCACGAGCCTCCTCCACTGAGGCCGATCTTGACACCGCTGGTACCAGTCTTCGGCAAGTCCACTCAACTCCACATCCTCCCGTACCGCATCACTCCATCTCTTCTCCAACCCGTGCCGCGCCCGTTTAGCCCCCACTATCCGGACAAACAGAAGCCGCTTGGGCATGCAGTAGCTGGGCATGCGGGCTACGTGACCCAGCCAACACAGCATTGCCTGCTGAGGAAAGACCCCAGCTGGGCCCCAAAGTGAGAGGGCCAGGAGGTATGCGGTCAACAATGCTTGACTCAGGGAGGAGGACGCCCCTGCCATGCATAGTCCCATGGGATGTTGGCTACCAACAACAAGGCAACTCCTACGACTAATTGGGAATGGGACGCAAGCGTAGGATTGATCACCCTGTAGCTGGCCGCCTTTGGGGAGGGTGTATCGTGTGAAAGGCCGAAACACCCTAGGAACCAAAGGGTCACTACTGACGATGCGCTCCCCAAATTTCACCAGGCTCACTGTTCATGAACTCTTGGAAGTGCTTGCACAAAGGATAGTAACATCTCATCCTGTGTTCTTTGGAATCGGAATTTGCCTGCTGGAGGAGTTTATCGATGGGACTGTGTCCAGATCTTTCAATAATTTGTCAGCTTCTCACATCACACAATCCAGGATGGATCATAGGTAGGCCAGCCTGAATGTTTCTAACCAACGGAGATGTTCCATTAGAGGGTTCCACGTTTCGCAAGCGAATAGAAGGGAGGGCATTACCGTGGCCGAGAAGACATGAAGCTTCGTGTAGAGTAACAGACCAGGTAGCTTCCACACAGCGTTACGCAGCCAATGATAAAATGTCGCCGAACTGATTCGCAGTGAGACCTGTGCTGTCAAATTGGAGCTGGTCATAAGCACACTGCCCAGGTATGGAAACCTATCTACTCTCTCCACAAATGCTCCAGTGGAGTTTTTGATGACACAAAATACATGGGCAGGTGCTTAGTTTTGGACGGGCTGATGGTAAGGCTCCACCTCTTAGTGGCACGCTCCAGGTTCATCATCAGCACCTCCACTCCTTCTTAGAGTGAGCAGCAATCACCAGACCATCACCATACATAACATGGTTGACCAATAGAAAGCCATTTATCGGCGGCACCCGGGCATCCATCAACCTCCCATTGTATCTGGACCAGATGGAGATTCCTTCGTACAACCATAGAAGGCTTCTTGGTTCTTTCGGTAAAGTCACGTAGAATGGAAGTAATAAAATAATAAAAATAAAACATAATAAAATAATTCTCACGACGTTTCGGCCACAACGCAAGTAACTGTCCTCAGGTGGAGAACAGCGTCTGTCGAGGAGACAGATTCAGACCGTCTCCCCGACAGACGCTGTTCTCCACCTGAGGACGGCTGCTTGCGTTGTAGCCGAAACGTCGTGAGAATTATTTAATGTTGTTTTATTTTTATTATTTTATTATTTCCCTTCTACGTGGCGACTTTACCGAAAGAACCAAGAAGGTGAATCCCTGCAGTCACGAAAGCTTTAAATTGAAACATAGAAGGCTTCTCGAACTACATGGTCGAAAAATATGTCAATCGTGTAGGTGCCAGCAGAGGACATCCCTGTCGCACCCCAAAGTTAACAGGGAATGCCTCCGACTCCCGGTCACGCATCTTTACCTGTGCCTGCCTACCATCATGAAGATCATTAATGATTAACAAGGACAAAGATCCCCCGTATAGCCTCAACAGACTGTTGGGTCAGGTGCTGTTAGCGAGCATCTATGAAGGCCGGCACGGCACACGAGGGGGTGGGTGGTCAGCACCAAGCCCGGCCGTCTTTGTCTCCTCAGTGGCGATGTTTACACACCGCACCAGGTACTCATTTGTGGCCGAGGCGACCTAGGGGAGGCCCAGGACCGGTTCAGATAATCGTCACTGGTGATGACCATCACAGCCATCACCATCACAGCCATCACCATCACTACCATCACAGCCATCACAGCCATCACCATCACAGTGAGCGGGAATCAAAGTTGGCATGCCGGGTTCGAAGCACAGTGCGCGAGCTGCTACACTACCGCTCCCCACTTAATGACTAACTCACACACTTACCCACTCACACCCACTCACACTCACTCACACTCACAATCACTTTCACTCACACTCACACTCACTCACACTCACTCTCACTCACTCTCTCTCACTCTCTCTCACTCACACTTTCACTCACACTCACTTTCACTTTCACTCTCTTTCACTCACACTCACTCACTCACACTCACCTGGAAGTCCGAGTCATTGGAGGAGGAGTTGCCCACGAGGATTTCCACGAAGGCCGATCCCTCATTCCCAACATCGACGCTGAGAATTTTCTCAGCCTTCTCAAACTGGACACGGGGACACAGGGAGACACACAGGAGGGCAGACATGTGAGATACAAGGGGTCATATGTAGACAGAAACACACGAGGACGCACACAGAGGCACGAGGTCTGCCAATAGAATCCAGTGGCACCATGGTGGCTAGGAGATGTTAACTACCTCGTCTGGTGTACAGGAGGTCGTGGGTTCAATCCCAACCCTGATGCCTGCTGCTGTATATTTGGAGTTTGCGTGTCTCTCATCATGGTGGCTAGGAGATGTTAACTACCTCGCCTGGTGTACAGGAGGTCGTGGGTTCAATCCCAACCCTGATGCCTGCTGCTGTATATTTGGAGTTTGCGTGTCTCTCATCACGGTGGCTAGGAGATGTTAACTACCTCGTCTGGTATACAGGAGGTCGTGGGTTCAATCCCAACCCTGATGCCTGCTGCTGTATATTTGGAGTTTGCGTGTCTCTCATCATGGTGGCTAGGAGATGTTAACTACCTCGCCTGGTGTACAGGAGGTCGTGGGTTCAATCCCAACCCTGATGCCTGCTGCTGTATATTTGGAGTTTGCGTGTCTCTCATCACGGTGGCTAGGAGATGTTAACTACCTCGTCTGGTACACAGGAGGTCGTGGGTTCAATCCCAACCCTGATGCCTGCTGCTGCTGTATATTGGGAGTTTGTGTGGCTCTCGCTCTCCCCGTTGCCGTGTGGATTTTTCTACGGGTCCTCCAGTTTTTCCCTCCTTATTTAGAATCAACGTCGCACATTTAGACTATTTGGCCGCTACTATAAATATCCGGTTATTGATGATGATATTAGCCACTTCGTTAAGCTATCATTTGTGATATCTGGTTTGCTTCTGAAAAAGACCCACATAGCGCAGTGGGACCTTATCCACTGGTACAAATAAAAATAAGTAAAACCCGTAAAAACAAAGTTTTTCACTATAAATCCTTAATATGCGTGGCGGCTAGAGTCCTCTCGTCCTCTGGCTTGAGATGGCTGCCACCTATGGGTCAGATGATTGCATTGCACCATTAAGCAATTGGTAATTAAATATAATATTTTTTACTAAAAAGTGTAAAATTTTGGAAAAAAAAATTCACGAACATTAATTGTCACGCACAACGAGTCTGGGTGGAAAATCTCAGCTCGATTGGATCACGGGAAGTGGGTTAAAAAACGACCGAAAGATTTGCACGGTCCTAAGCAAGCGAGCGAGCGAACTTAATATAAAGGATTTAAAAAGTCGTAATTAATGGTAGAATCAGCAATTCCAGGCCGGGACGAGAGCCGGTCTCCGCTCATCTCTGCTCCCCTAACTCCGGGATGAGCCAGATGAGGAAATTCCACATTCCCCCAACGGGGACACAGACTCTCCTTATCGGGCGGCGCAGGTGCCGGGTTTATCCGCCCGGTGGCAGCGGCGGTGTTGATGGTGGTGATGGTGGTGATGGTGATGATGGTGGTGATGGTGGTGATGGTGATGATGGTGGTGATGGTGGTGATGGTGATGATTAGGATGATGATGGTGGTAGTGATGGTTGGTGATGGTGGTGATGGTGGTTGGTGATGGTGGTGGTGATTAGGATGATGATGGTGGTGATGGTGGTGACGGTGGTGATGATGGTGATGATTAGGATGATGACGGTGGTAGAGTGATGGTGGTGGTGATGGTGGTGGTGATGGTGGTGGTGATGGTGGTGGTGATGGTGGTGGTGGTGGCGGCAGTGATGGTGGTGACGGGGGTGATGATGGTGATGATGGTGATGATTAGGATGATGATGGTGGTAGAGTGATGGTGGTGGCAATGGTGGTGATGGTGGTGATGGTGATTAGGATGATTAGGATGATGATGGTGTTGATGGTGGTAGTGATGGGGATGGTTGGTGATGTTGGCAATGGTGGCGATGGCGGTGATGGCGGCAGTGATGGTGGTGATGATGGTGATGATTGTGATTAGGATGATGATGGTGGTAGTGATGGTGATGGTTGGTGATGTTGGCAATGGTGGTGATGGCGGTGATGGCGGCAGTGATGGTGGTGATGGTGTTGATGGTGGTGATGTCGGTAGTGATGGTGATGGTTGGTGATGTTGGCAATGGTGGTGATGGCGGTGATGGTGGTGATGGCGGCAGTGATGGTGGTGATGGTGTTGATGATGGTGATGATTAGGATGATGACGGTGGTAGTGATGGTGATGGTTGGTGATGTTGGCAATGGCGGTGATGGCGGCAGTGATGGTGGTGATGGTGGTGATGGTGCTGTGGGTGACACCTGGAGGATGAAAGAGGCCTCCTTCTCCCCGGGGAGGCAGCGCCACTTGCGGTGAGCATCGCCGCTGAGAAGATTGTCCACACGGTGCAACTGGGGGGGAAACCACAACACCCACCATAACCACCACGGCCACATCCACCACCACTACAACCACCAGCACCATAACAACCATCACAACAACCATCACAACACTCACCACCACCATCACAACACCCACCACCACCACATTCACAATCACTACAACCACCACAAATAGAACCACCAACACCATAACAACCATCACAACACCCACCACCACCATCACAACACCCACCACCACCACCACGACCACATCCACCACCACTACAACCACCACAAATAAAACCACCAACACCATAACAACCATCACAACAACCATCACAACACTCACCACCACCATCACAACACTCACCATAACCACCACTATCACCAACACAATCATGACCACAACACCCACCACCATAAATAGAACCACCACCACAACAACCACCATAACCACCACTACAGCCACTATCACCACAACACCCATCACCACAAGCACCACAAATAGAACCACCACCGTAACCACCACCACTATAAGCACCACAACAACAACCACTATCAGCACCACAACTATAACCACTTTAACCAACACCACAACCACTACCAATAGAACTACCACGATAACCACCACCACTACAGCCACCATCACCACCACCACTACCACCATGACAATCACCACAACTATAACCACTTCAACCAACACTACAACTACTACCACTATAACCACCACCACTACAGCCACTATCACCACCACCACTACAGCCACTATCACCACCACCACTACCACCATGACAATCACCACAACTATAACCAAAGATAAACACTTTGAAGTGAAGCACAGCTAACGATTTCGATTGTTACTATTTCGATTTAGAACGAATACTAACGCTCGATGCGTGTGCGCTGTGATGATAACATTGTCCTGCTCCCGTACAGAAGACTCGGCCCACTATAGTGGATAGCAGAGGCACGCCAATCAAACTCAATCAAACTCTGCACACCGTTGAAAATATATTGCAACTACTGTACTGTAGAGGCGATCACGCCGATTTCGGATTAACCCGACGAGAGATTTTTTCGGTTTAAGCATGTGACTTGTAATAAACATTTCCAAGAATAACAATGTACAACTAGATTATTAATTCGGGCTTCAGGGAAAACCTACGAGTTATTAATTTAGACTGGTAGGAACGAAGTGAACCAGCCTACAATAGATTATATCGTCCGTCCGATGTCCGATTAGGTGTAGCAACATCGCCCCCTACTGCAAACACTTGGCAGGACCCTACAAAAACCTTTGGACTCAGTGAGGCTTTCCTGGCTAAACAAGTGTAATAATACATGATGTTTATATTCTTTGGTTATTCGTTCCTACCAGCCCACCCCGCAGGGACCTGTTTTCAAAATCTCAGGTGCGCGGTTAATCCACAAATGACTTTCAATCTAGGCGATTTAAAATTGCATAGCCTCCAGCGGCTTCCTAATATCTAAGCTCCAAAGTTAAGATTCCTAATATCTGTTGATATGCAAATTCCTTTGTCAAGGCGCCCTTCCCCCTCTAACCCAGCAGCTTAAATATACGCTGCCAAGCTTGGTGGTACTCATTCAGACGCTTTCTTTCCGACAGACCTGTTCTTCTGAACGCCACCAAGCTTGGCAGCGTATATTTAAGTATATATTTAAGTATATACGCTGCCAAGCCTGGTGGTGTTCATTCAGACGCTGTCTTTCCGACAGCCCTGTTCTTCTGAACACCACCAAGCTTGGCAGCGTATATTTAAGTATATATTTAAGTATATACGCTGCCAAGCTTGGTGGTGTTCATTCAGACGCTGTCTTTCCGACAGACCTGTTCTTCACCTGAGGACAGCTGCTTGCGTTGTGGCCGAAACGTCGTGAGAATTGTATTTTATTATGTTTTATTTTTTTTATTTTATTATTTCCCTTCTACGTGACTTTACCGAAAGAACCAAGAAGATGAATCCCTGCAGTCACGAAAGCTTTAAATCGAAAAAAAAAGATGATGATGTTGATGATGTTGATGTTAATGATGATGATGTTCATGATGATGTTGATGTTAATAATGATGTTAATGTTAATGATGATGATGTTGATGATGATGTGAATGACGCTGTCATTCCGACAGACCTGTTCTTCACCTGAAGACGGCTGCTTGCGTTGTGGCCATAACGTCGTGAGAATTGTATTTTATTATGTTTTATTTTTATTATTTTATTATTTCCCTTCTATGTGATGACTTTACCGAAAGAACCAAGAAGATGAATCCCTGCAGTTACGAAAGCTTTAAATCGAGAAATAACTAAATTAAATCACGACGTTTCGGGCGCAACACAAGCGTCCGTCATCAGGTGGAACAACCACAGCAATAAACGATTGCTGAAGTGGGCAAAATGGCTGATGTGACAAGAGGCTAAGTAGGTAAGAGAGGGGGAAATAAAATAGCAAAATAAGATTTTGCTGCCATGAATGTCTAAATGATGAGCCACTTTGTTGAGCTCTCATCATGCGCCAAGTTGCTTCTTAAAAACAAGTTAATAGCTCAGCGGGTTTCGTCGCCTCATAGAATGGGGATGGTTTAGTTCTAGTTGTACGTTTCGATTTAAAGCTTTCGTGACTGCAGGGATTCATCTTCTTGGTTCTGTCGGTAAAGTCATCACGTAGAAGGGAAATAATAAAATAAAAAAATACAACATAATTATTAAACATGTTTTATTTCTATTATTTTAATAAAAATAATTATTAAACGTAATTATGTTTTATTTCTATTATTTTAATAAAAATAATTATTAAACATAATTATGTTTTATTTCTATTATTTTAATAAAACATAATTATTAAACATAATGATGTTTTATTTCTATTATTTTAATAAAAATAATTATTAAACATAATGATGTTTTATTTCTATTGTTTTAATAAAAATAATTATTAAACATAATGATGTTTTATTTCTATTATTTTAATAAAAATAATTATTAAACATAATGATGTTTTATTTCTATTATTTTAATAAAAATAATTATTAAACATAATTATGTTTTATTTCTATTATTTTAATAAAACATAATTATTAAACATAATGATGTTTTATTTCTATTATTTTAATAAAAATAATTATTAAACATAATGATGTTTTATTTCTATTGTTTTAATAAAAATAATTATTAAACATAATGATGTTTTATTTCTATTATTTTAATAAAAATAATTATTAAACATAATGATGTTTTATTTCTATTATTTTAATAAAAATAATTATTAAACATAATGATGTTTTATTTCTATTATTTTAATAAAAATAATTATTAAACATGTTTTATTTCTATTATTTTAATAAAAATAATTATTAAACATGTTTTATTTCTATTATTTTAATAAAAATAATTATTAAACATAATGATGTTTTATTTCTATTATTTTAATAAAACATAATTATTAAACATTATTATTATGTTTAATTTCTATTATTTTATTATTTCCCTTCTACGTGACTTTACCGAAAGAACCAAGAAGATTCTAGTTGTATGGTTTAGGTGACTTGTTTGCCTTGTACTTTGCGCTACTGTCGTGTTTTGTATTACTTGTTGGTGTACATTCTTACCCGGCCCGACTAAACCATCTGTAGAAAAGAGCTTTATAGCTGATAATTGTTTTTTAACCCTTCTATCTGGCAACAAAATGACACCTCCTTCCGATTTAAAGCATTCGTGACTGCAGGGATTCATCTTCTTGGTTCTTTCGGTAAAGTCACGTAGAAGAGAAGTAATAAAATAATAAAAATAAAACATAATAAAATAATTCTCACGACGTTTCGGCTACAACGCAAGCAGCCGTCTTCAGGTGAAGAATGAGACACTGCCAAGCTGGGAGCTTATATATAAGCTGAGTTGGGGGTGGAAGAAGAGCGCCTTAATATAAGCTCCTAGCTTGGCAGTGTCTCATTCTTCACCTGAAGACGGCTGCTTGCGTTGTAGCCGAAACGTCGTGAGAATTATTTTATTTTGTTTTATTTTTATTATTTTATTACTTCCCTTCTACGTGACTTTACCGAAAGAACCAAGAAGATGACACCTTGTAAAAACGTGTCAGTTTTGTTGCCAGATAGAAGGGTAAAAAACCAATTATCATATTTTTTACTGGCAAATGAGGTTCCAATGGTGTAAATGCTTACCCCGAGCTCTCATACTCTGATGGTGCATTGTCTTTGAGTTGTGCGCCTTTTGGCGTCATCTGGTCCAACCCATGTGAGACTAGACTCTAAGGAAAGCTGTCTCGGGTGTGGACCAATCAACTTCAAGGACAGTGCATATCATTACCATTATCAGAGTTGTTTATTTTTGTTTGCATTTTGACTGCTTGTGTTGCGGTTATTGCAAACATGATGCCTTGTAAAAAAAGGTGTCAGTTTTGTTGCCAGATAGAAGGGTAAAAAAAACAATAATCATATTTTTTTACTGGCAAATGAGGTTCCAATGGTGTAAACGCTTCATAGCTCATCGGATTCATCCTGGAGTATCATTATTCTGATTCAGGGGTTTTCATTGTGCACAGCTGCCAAATACCTCGCGTCAATATGAGAAATCTCGTAGCATCAGCAGCACGAGATGTTCCACGGGGAAACTGCTGATAAGCTTCAGCAGATCGAGGTCGCTATCGAAACAGTGTCTCCCCAGGTAAGATGGCCGCCCCATCACGCGAAGCCTCCCCAGGTAAGATGGCCGCCCCGCTCACGCGAAGCCTCCCCAGGTAAGATGGCCGTCCCACACACACGGACGCACGCGAAATCTTCCCTAGGCAAGATGGCCGTCCCACACACACGGACGCACGCGAAATCTTCCCCAGGTAAGATGGCCGTCCCACACACACGGACGCACGCGAAATCTTCCTCAGGTAAGATGGCCGCCCACACGAAATCTTCCCCAGGCAAGATGGCCGCCCACACGGGCGCACGCGAAATCTTCCCTAGGCAAGATGGCCGCCCACACGAAATCTTCCCCAGGCAAGATGGCCGTCCCACACACGGGCGCACGCGAAATCTTCCCCAGGCAAGATGGCCGCCCACACACGGGCACACGCGAAATCTTCCCTAGGCAAGATGGCCGCCCACACACGGGCACACGCGAAATCTTCCCTAGGCAAGATGGCCGCCCACACACGGGCACACGCGAAATCTTCCCCAGGCAAGATGGCCGCTCACAGACGGGCACACGCGAAATCTTCCCAAGGCAAGATGGCCGCTCACATACGGGCGCACGCGAAATCTTCCCTAGGCAAGATGGCCGCTCACACAAAATCTTCCCTGGGCAAGATGGCCGCTCACACGAAATCTTCCCTAGGCAAAATGGTCGCCCACACACGGGTGCACGCAAAATCTTCCCCAGGCAAGATGGCCGCCCACATACGGGCGCACGCGAAATCTTCCCCAGGTAAGATGGCCACCCACACACACGGGCGCACGCGAAATCTTCCCCAGGTAAGATGGCCACCCACACACACGGGCGCACGCGAAATCTTCCCGAGGTAAGATGGCCACCCACACACACGGGCGCACGCGAAATCTTCCCCAGGTAAGATGGCCACCCACACACACGGGCGCATGCGAAATCTTCCCCAGGTAAGATGGCCACCCACACACACGGGCGCACGCGAAATCTTCCCTAGGCAAAATGGCCGTCGCACGCGAAATCTTCCCTAGGCAAGATGGCCGCTCACACGAAATCCTCCCTAGGCAAGATGGCCGCACACACAAAATCCTCCCCAGGTAAGATGGCGGCCCGCGCTCACGAACCCTGGTGAGAGGGGTGCGAGGGGTGTGTGCGAGGCTGCACCACGTGACCCGCACTCACCGGATCCTCACTGCTGCACGACACCACGTGACGCAGCTTCACGGGCGGCATGCTCGAGACGGGGAGGGGAGGTGGCTGAGGTGAGGGGGCTGAGGTGAGGGGGCTGAGGTGAGGGGGCTGAGGTGAGGGGGCTGAGGTGAGGGGAGGTGAAGGGAGGGGAGGGGAAGGGAGGGGAGGGGAGGGGAGGTGAAGGGAGGGGAGGGGAGGTGAAGGGAGGGGAGGGGAGGTGAAGGGAGGGGAGGGGAGGTGAAGGGAGGGGAGGTGAGGTGAGGGGAGGTGAGGTGAGGTGAGGGGAGGCTGAGGGGAGGGGAGGTGAGGGGAGGGGAGGTGAGGTGAGGGGAGGGGCTGAGGTGAGGGGAGGTGAGGTGAGGAGGTTGAGGTGAGGGGAGGTGAGGAGGTTGAGGGGAGGTGAGGGGAGGTGAGGTGAGGTGAGGGGGCTGAGGTGAGGGGGCTGAGGTGAGGTGAAGGGAGGGGAGGGGAGGTGAGGGGAGGTGGTGAGGAGAGGGGAGGTGGGGAGGTGAGGGGAGGGGAGGTGAGGGGTGGGCACCCAGACCCCGCCTCTCGCGAGACTTGGGCTGTTGTTGGTGTTGAGCGAGACCCACCCCCTCCTCCTCCTCCACCGCTTCACGAGGCGCGCGAGGTGAGGAAGAGAGGGGCGAGCGCGATGGGGGAGAGGAGGAGGCAGCCGCGAGGGGGTTGGAGAGCGAGGGAGGTGGTGGTGGTGGGGGGGTAGGAGCGTACGAGACCAGAGTTAGTGAGGGATGAGCGCGGACTCCCCCCCCCTCCTCCTCCTCCGTTACTGCGAGTCGCGTTGAAGGTGGAAGCAGCAGTAGCAGCAATAGAAGCAGCAGTAGCAGCAATAGAAGCAGCAGTAGCAGCAATAGAAGCAGCAGTAGCAGCATCAGCAGTAGCAGCATCAGCAGCAGTAGAAGCGCGCCATCCCCCCTCAGTGTTTGCTTCGCGTACAGCGGAAGTGACGTCAGCGCGACCCCGCCCGGTTCGCTTTTCCCGCCTTTTCTCTGGCGTCTGAGGGGGTCACGTGGGGTCCCCCCCCCCCGCCTCGCGCGGGGAGGGTGGGGGGGGCTCTGTGTCACGTGGGTGAACTAATCAACGTGGACGTGCGCTGAATGAACTAATCAACATGGACGTGTGCTGAATGAACTAATCAACATGGACGTGCTCTAAATGAACTAATCAACATGGACGTGAATTCTAGATTTGAAGCTTTCGTGACTGCAAGGATTCATATTCTTAGGAGGCCTCCGAAACGTCGTGATTTTTGTTTTATTTTATTTTCATTAATTTTGATGTTTTACCTACGTGACTTTACCGAAAAAACCTAAGAATATGAACGTGGACGTGCTCTAAATGAACTAACCAATGTGGACGTGTGCTGAATGAACTAATCAACATGGACGTGTGCTGAATGAACTAATCAACATGGACGCGTGCTGAATGAACTAATCAACATGGACGTGTGCTGAATGAACTCACCAACGTGGACGTGTGCTGAATGAACTCACCAACGTGGACGTGTGCTGAATGAACTCACCAACGTGGACGTGTGCTGAATGAACTAATCAACATGGACGTGTGCTGAATGAACTCACCAACGTGGACGTGTGCTGAATGAACTAATCAGCATGGACGCGTGCTGAATGAACTAATCAACATGGACGTGTGCTGAATGAACTCACCAACGTGGACATGTGCTGAATGAACTAATCAACATGGACGCGTGCTGAATGAACGAATCAACATGGACGTGTGCTGAATGAACTAATCAACATGGACGCGTGCTGAATGAACGAATCAACGTGGACGTGTGCTGAATGAACTAATTAACATGGACGTGTGCTGAATGAACTCACCAACGTGGATGCGCGCTGAATGAACTAATCAACATGGACGTGCTCTAAATGAACTAACCAGTGTGGACGCACGCTGAACGAACTGATCAATGTGGACGCGCGTTGGATTGGGGGCCGTCCATAAATGACGTTCACGCACCTAGGGGGGGGGGGGGGGGGGTCAGACGTGTGACGAGGTGGGGGGGGGGGGGGTTTGTATTATGGCTGCAGGTATTGTGGTCTATGCAAACATGACTCCTTGTAAAAAAAGGTGTCAGTTGTGTTGCCAGATAGAAGGGTAAAAAAACATTATATTTTTTACTGGCAAATGAGGTTCCAATGGTGTAAATATCATCTTCTTTGTCTACTTCCGTGGCTGTACCAGTGGAATTTACATCTGGCACAGCAGATACAATGAGTGGACTGATCGATGCCCTTGGTGGGGTCGAGGGATGTTCTGGCTCTCTCGTGGTCAACCACGTTGTACGCCGATGGTCTGTGGATTGCTACCCACACTTTGAACCTGGAGCATGCCACTAAGAGATGGGGACCACGAGCCCACCAAAACTAAGCACCTGCCTGGGTATGTTGTGTCATCAAACGCTCCACCCCCTCAAATGCCTCACTAATTCATGGGGGCAGGTGATATAAAATGGATAAGTTGCAGTACCCTGGGGCAGTGTGCTTTTGACCAATAGTGTTTTGACAGCGGATGTCTCACTCCAAATCGGTCGAGAGGCATCTTTTCATTGGCTGCATTACACAGAGGTCGCAAACCGGGTACCCGATACCCGTACCCTACCGGCTACCCGGCTACCTGTACCCGGCCAGGTACGGGTACCCGTTTGCGACCCTGGTGCGGCCGGGTACGGGTACGGGTAGGCCGTGAGTCACTGGTGAGTAACCGTTTGTCACTCATTTCGGGTAGGGTACGGGTAGAGAACGGGTACCGTTTGCGACCCTGGTGCGGCCGGGTATGGGTACGGGTAAGGAATCAAAACCCGTTTGCGACCTCTGCATTACGCTGCTGTGTGGGAAGCTACCTGGTCTGTCACTCACACAAAGCTTTGGGTCATCTCGGCTACAGTCATGCCCTCCCTTTCCTATGCTTGCGAAACGTGGACACCCCCCCCCCCCCCACACTAACGGCACATATCGCTGGTTAGAAACATTTTAGTCGGCCTGCCTACGATCCATACTGGGATTAACCAGGCTGGATTGGTGTGAGGAGCTCACAGATCCTTGAAGGATCTGGATACAATTCCCCCTTCAGTGAGCTCCTCCGGCCGTAGTGAATCAATGTATTATAAACTAAACTAAACTTTTGTTTTGAACCAAATTTGGTTTTATTTACCAGGTAATATCCCCACTGAGCTACAGTGAGGAGAGGCACTGAACTCAGTCATCATTGGAAAGATGTTATTAACCACGCAAAAAAAGACTTAATTACACTTTTTTTAGGACAATCTTATCTGACAGGCACTATTTTACTTTACCGAGTGTTAACATCCCCAGTGTTTAACAGTAATCTCTTCATTGTTTCAGCCAGCATTGGTATAAACATGGGCATTTTCGTCTTTTCTATCATGTGTATCAGGCCTCCCCCTCCCCCCTCCCTGCCCAAGACGTTGGCGTGTGCAGCAGTTTGTCGCTTGCGCACAATCGCTTCCACGCCGTCGCCCACCCTTTTGGCCCCGCCCCCCCCTCCCTCCCGATACTTTCCATTCATTGACTACCACATTCTGATGATCTCCCCCCTCTCCTCCCCCCTCAACTCGCTTTTAAGGGATTACATCTTGAGTCATTGCCTCACTTGATGCAGCTAATCTGGCTGTGACGGTCCCACCTGATGACGGAGACCTTGTGTTGCCTCCGAAACGTCGTGATCTTTATTTTATTTTATTTTTATTAATTTTGATGTTTTACCTACGTGACTTTACCGGAAAAAACCTAAGCATATGAATCCTTGCAGTCACGAAAGCTTCAAATCTAGAAGTATTTGATCCCCTGCTGATTTTGTACGTTTGCCCACTGACAAAGAAATGATCAGTCTATCATTGTAATGGTAGGTTTATTTGAACCGTGAGAGACAGAATAACAACAAAAAAATCCAGAAAAACGCATGTCAAAAATGTTATAAATTGATTTGCATTTTAATGAGGGAAATAAGTATTTGACCCCCTCTGCAAAACATGACTTAGTACTTGGTGGCAAAACCCTTGTTGGCAATCACAGAGGTCAGACGTTTCTTGTAGTTGGCCACCAGGTTTGCACACATCTCAGGAGGGATTTTGTCCCCCTCCTCTTTGCAGATCTTCTCCAAGTCATTAAGGTTTCGAGGCTGACGTTTGGCAACTCGAACCTTCAGCTCCCTCCACAGATTCTCGATGGGATTAAGGTCTGGAGACTGGCTAGGCCACTCCAGACCTTAATGTGCTTCTTCTTGAGTCACTCCTTTGTTGCCTTGGCCGTGTGTGTTGGGTTATTGTCATGCTGGAATACCCATCCACGACCCATTTTCAATGCCCTGGCTGAGGAAGGAGGTTCTCACCCAAGATTTGACGGTACATGGCCCCGTCCATCGTCCCTTTGATGTGGTGAAGTTGTCCTGTCCCCTTAGCAGAAACATGCAACCTACGACCTCCTGTATACCAGCCGAAGGCATGAACATATCCTAGCCACCGTGTCACCCTTGCATCAGGGGAGCAGTGGTTGCAGTGGTTTAGCGTGCTGCGCTATGAACCTAGCGACCCGAAGTTGAATTCCCACTCAGCCAACATCGGAAGAATACTGTGTCTGATCCGGTGTTGGGCCTCCCTAGGTCGACTCAGCCTTGACGGGTACCTGATGCAGTGTGGTGCTGGCCACCCACTCCCTCGTGTGCCATGCCGGCTTCAATTGTATCGGCTATAGTGTGAGTCAGGCTCTCTCCACTGCTGGCTGTGTCTGCAGGGTCAGTCTCTCTCCACTGCTGCTGTGTCTGCAGGGTCAGTCTCTCTCCACTGCTGCTGTGTCTGCAGGGTCAGTCTCTCTCCACTGCTGCTGTGTCTGCAGGGTCAGTCTCTCTCCACTGCTGCGGTGTCTCTGCAGGGTCAGTCTCTCTCCACTGCTGCTGTCTCTGCAGAGTCATCTCTCTCCACTGCTGCTGTGTCTCTGCAGAGTCACTCTCTCCACTGCTGCTGTCTCTGCAGAGTCAGTCTCTCTCCACTGCTGCGGTGTCTCTGCAGTCAGACTCCTCCACTGCTGCGGTGTCTCTGCAGAGGGTCAGTCTCTCTCCACTGCTGCTGTGTCTGCAGAGGTCAGTCTCTCTCCACTGCTGCTGTGTCTCTGCAGAGTCAGTCTCTCTCCACTGCTGCGTGTCTGCAGGGTCAGTCTCTCTCCACTGCTGCGGTGTCTCTGCAGAGTCAGTCTCTCTCCACTGCTGCGGTGTCTCTGCAGAGTCAGTCTCTCTCCACTGCTGCGTGTCTCTGCAGAGTCAGTCTCTCTCCACTGCTGCTGTGTCTGCAGGGTCAGTCTCTCTCCACTGCTGCGGTGTCTCTGCAGGGTCAGTCTCTCTCCACTGCTGCTGTGTCTCTGCAGAGTCAGTCTCTCTCCACTGCTGCTGTGTCTCTGCAGGTCAGTCTCTCTCCACTGCTGCGGTGTCTCTGCAGAGTCAGTCTCTCTCCACTGCTGCTGTGTCTGCAGGGTCAGTCTCTCTCCACTGCTGCTGTGTCTCTGCAGAGTCAGACTCTCTCCACTGCTGCTGTGTCTCTGCAGAGTCAGTCTCTCTCCACTGCTGCTGTGTCTCTGC